ACCAGTTCACGCAGCGTGGTGTTTGTAGACACGCTCTCCGCCGCCAGCCGGGAGCTCCTTGGGCCGTGCACTGCTGGCGCTGTTTCGGCGGAGGCAAGGCGGCAGACGGGGCGACCCCGCTCTCGCTGCGGGGCGCCGTGGCCACGTTTTCAGCCAGCTATTCTCGGTCTGCACCGAGTGCTGCATCCTGCGCTTCAACATTGCACGAAGACGCCCCCCCCCCGCTGATTTTTAGATTTCGGTCCCACGAGTGACTGCGTAGTCGGGTCGGGTCACCTTCGACATCTCGTAGAACCAACGTCAACGTTCTGAGATGATGGTTGCGGCTTGCGAGCTGGGAGTCGGTTCATCAGGCAGAACCTCTACCAAGTGCCCAGCGTTGTTTTGAGTTTCTCCTGTGGGAAGTCCTCGTTACAGCTACTCCACTCACCATCATCGCCAGTTTTTCGCGCGATTGCCAGAGTAAATATCGAGACTGAGGCCCTCCGAGAGCACGTGCGCGCGCGGGGCCCTCCGTCGCTTCGCGGTCCCCGTCTCGAACTGTTCCGCGTTCAGCGTGCAAGGCGGCGCCGCCAGATCGCCGAATTCCTGCGACGCTTCGCCCATGTCGGACCTGGGCGCCTGCTGATATTGCCCCGCTACGGCGAGAACGGCGACTCGCTGCTGATCGGCCCCTCGGAGATTCTGGGCCAGCCCCGCCTCGACGCGTGCTTCGACGGCGTCGGCCCCCATGTAGCGCGCCACCTGCAGCTGCGTCGCCGGGGCTGGGCCCGCCGCCGTCCAGACCGGCCTTGATTTCGACGCCTGCAGCGCCAGCCAGCATTCGATCCGATGTCGGAGCAAACTACGAAACCGTCACCGAAAGCCAGCTGGAGAACCCCCCCCCCGCCGTCCTCGACCAAGCTTGGCGACGCTGGCAAAAACTCCACGGCGACGGGCGCCCCTCCAGCACAGCGTCGGCGAATCCAAGCAGCAGGCGTCGGCGGCAAGAACCCGCTGAGGCCCCAAGCGGCCCGAGCGGCGGACGCAGCGGAGGACGAGGGCGACCGCGTTGGCGCGGGGGGGGGGGGAATGAACGATCGAGACGGGCCCGTCGGCGCGGCGGACGCCGAGCCCATCGTGGCCGCCACGTGGACAAGACCTGGACCAAAAGGATAAGAACGTGCAGGCCCTCCCCACCGCCAGCTTGACACTACTATTTCAGATCATTTCGAAGATACCCCATAACATGTGCGCCGCGGCCGACGCGTGAACGTCACCGACTGTTCTTCTCGTTCGCACCACGGAGGGGTTGGAGGGCTTCGGGATCAGGGCCAACGCGCCCGCGACCGAGCGGAACAAGGACACCAGCTCCAGAATCTGGGCCCGCCGACCCCAGCCTTGGCCTTCGCGGCGTTGGAAGCGCTCCTATCGCCATATGGGCGGCCGAGCACGCGCGCCCATGCAGACGCTCCGCGCGAAATGCAGCCCAGAGCAGCAAGACGAGGACCCAGAGATCGGCCACATGGCCCTCTTGCGCGATCTAGCCTTCATCCGCATCGAGAAAACCCGCGACCCAGACGCCACCGAGCTGGTCATGCGCGCCCACGATTGGGAGCTTCGCAAACTTCATCGACGCGTTCCTCGCGGAGGGGATGGCGAAACACCGCCTGGTCCCCGCTTCGGCGGGCTGGATGGGGGGGGGGGTGATCTCGGTGTGGCCCGATCACTTCCGACGGTTCGTATACGTCCCCCAATCCTTCCTTTCGATCAGCTCCACCTCGGCTTCCGCGCGACAGTAGCAGCGAACGCGGCGAGCCCTCTGCAATGCCCGAGCCCGGCATCATTGACAATGACGTGGAAGAAGAGGCCGCCGACACCAACCTACAGCAGCTCGGCTCCATCAGATTCGCCTTTTGTGCTTAACCTCGAACCTGTTTTTTGTTGTTCTCTCTCTCTCTCTCTCACGCTCTCCGTCACGCGAGCAGGGCATTTTATTGGATCTTAAACAGCGAGGCTGTAAGAACCTTCATTGGGGGGAGGCCTGGCCAGGGTCACGGGAGCAACTTGGGGGGGCATATGCGGGACCGCCTGCTGGATCAGGGTCGCCTTGCGCGCGCACGTTTAGACTGCCCCTAAGCGAAGCACCGTGACAGCGCACGATCACTATAGGCAAATTGCAGTAACCCGCTGCAGCGACGAGCCCTATTGTCAGCATCCCGGTGGCCATGTCGTACACGGGGCTACGGTGTCGTGGGCGGGGTGTGTCACTGCGAGTCAGTTCGTGGCCTCAGTTACGTAATTGGTGATACTACTGTACACATCTCCCTCATGTCGTCGTAAAGAGAAGGTGACCATTAGTAAGGGGGTCGAGACCACCGGGGGCTTTCGGGCCCACATAATACGCCTTTACATCCAGAACCTTTTCCTGCATGAACTGGGGGCCCCTGGAAGGCGTTCGGGAGGCCGACGGCGGGGAACAAGATCAGAACACGTTTCCGGCAGGTGCCCCCCTGTCCTATTCGTTGATATCTGGTGTGCGCAAGGGTAAACAAACAAAAGACACACACAAAAACAACAACCTGGGAGGGGGGCGCCGTGCGCGCTCGTCCGCGAGCATCGTCGAGAGGGCGGGCGGTGTGGATCCGACGAATATGACCCATTGATCCTCGCTCATGGGCCGGTCTTGGAGCCCTCCTGGAAGCCGTCGGAGCCCTATTGGAACGCGTTTGAATTCAATTTCGGGCTGTCTTGAGGCTTCAGAAGCGCAGGGTAAGCGACAAGGCTAGACCAGAGTCAGTTGAATACATGCAGGTGTTGGATGATTTGGACATAGAGGGGATATTTCGCGGGCCTCTTGAGGACTGTCTTGTACCATCTTGGGCCACTTTGGGGCGTGCTCTCTCTGGGGGTCTTCGGGGCCTTCCTGGATCCCTTCTAGGCTCCACTTGAACCTAGAATGGGCGATACCGAAGCCATCTTGAGGAGTCAGAATCCCATCGGAAGCGAAACGAGGAGAAAGCTACAATCAGTCAAAAGCGGTTGTTTGCCATATGAGTTTGGCCTTTTGGGTATCGTTGGCGTGCCTCTCTTGAGGGCCGTCTTCGACTATTGTGGACCACCTTGGGATTATTTTCGAGGCCATGTTGGACCTCTTGGGGCTCTCTTGGAGCCCTCTTGGAGTGGGCCTGGGGCGTTTCTGGGACGCTCCTCGATGTTTTCGGAGCCTTCGTGGAACACTTCTGGGCTACAGATGGAGCCATAGTGGGCAATCTTGGAGCCATCTTGACGCCTCGAAGCCTCGGAAGCGATACGGCCAGAAGCCATACTAATTGCAAACCCATTGGTGTTTGAATGAGTTTGGCATCTTGATGCCTTCTGGCGGGTCTCGTTGAGTTGTCTTGGACCATTTTGGGCCATTTTGGGACTATCTTGTGGCCCCTCGGGGCTGTTTCGGGACTACCTGGGAGCCTGCCACCCACTGATCCCTGTTCTTGGGATGCTCTTGGGGCTCTCTTGGGGCGATCGTGGGGCTATCTGAAAACAAACAGGTCCTGTGGCCTGAGGACCGCGCCCAGGAGGAAAAAAACATGCCTGAACCGACCATTCCAATTACTTGGCTAGTTGCCCCCTAGTTGTTGAGGTATTTGTCTTCCAGGAGCCCGCAAAGGCCGCCCCGCGCGCGCAGACAAGAAAATACGAATAGCTTGAACCTCTTATCAGAGATTCTAGCACGCTTTTGGCACATTGGGTCGGCGGCATGCCAAAGAGATTCGACGCATGCGCTCCCGTGCGACCAAGTTTATTATAGGAGGTGAGCCAGGCATCCAGCCAGTTCATTAAGGCACCATCTTGAAGCCAACCTAGAAGAGCTCAACGACGCGGCGTTTGGCCATTTTATGGCGACAGGAGCCGCGGTGCAAATCGAGCGAGGAAATCATCAATTTCCTGACACGTGAACGACCGAAGAACACACATTACATGCACCACCGAATGTGTGGGTGGATGTGTTGTTCCTCCGTCTCTCCCTTCCCACCTTCTCATCCTCGCCTTCCTATTAACCCTTCTCTTCCCGCAGAGCTTGATCGAGAGCTGCACTGCTGCCCTGCCTAGCCAGACCTGCCTGGCCCGAGACGCGCAGACAACTCAAGGTTTCGATAGCGTAGCGATCATACTGTGAACTGCAAGGGATGACACGTCGCGGGCCTCCTGGGGTGTCGGTGTCGGCCCACCCAGGGTCTGCAAACAATCCTCCATGAAGAGCGCACTTGGCTATCTGATCTCCGTTGACCTCCCACGGTTGCCAGCATCGCTTCCTCATCCACGGGAAGACCGCAGTTTGTGTTGATTGAGTGAGTGCGTCACCGTCCAGCTATAGTTTTCGCTGCCAGGGGGGCTACCTGGCAGGGGGCCGCAGCGGCCACACAGAGGCCGCCCGTTTCGGCTCGTAGGGACCAGCGGGTTCCCCTCCTCCTGCTTCTTTCTCCTCCCTCCTCCCTCCTCCTTTCTCCTCCTTTCTCCTCCTTCCCTCATCCTCCCTCTTCCTCCTCCTCCTCCGCCGAGTGCGCGTCAGGCTACCCCGTCTCGTGCAACAGAGGGGGGGTCTTGCGTCCATACCTCACGCAGACGGCAGTTCGTGCTTCCGACAAGGCCCCGCGGGGCGAGGGGGGGCTCTTGCCGCCGCTTCGAAGGGATGCCGTCCAGGCGCCTGGCCCTCGTGAAAACCGCAATGGCCAGGAGGAGGAGGCGGAGGAGGACACCACACATTCTGGTGTCCTCCTCCTGCTCCTCCTGCAGACTGCAGAAGTTGGCCAAGTCTGCCAGGCAGAAGAATGGCAACACGTGTTCCAGATTCGTTCTGGCATGCTCTGGAGCAAGTTGTGACGACATCTCAGGCTTCGTTCTTGCAGCTCTTCGGGTCCATGAGCTCGACTCGAACCGACTCCTCTCCCCCCCCCCCTCCCCGAACAGCAGCAAGTCCGAGGGGGCAGTGTGCCCCGTTGCGCGGGCGAACCCCCGAGGCGCCAAGTCCGGGCGGTACATGTTCGAGGCGGGCTCGGGCCCCCAGCCGTGGCGGAGGGGAGGCGGGGAGAAGGACTGAACGGGTGAGGCGGAGGGGGAGGGGAAGGAGGCGCCCCCCCCGTCCCGCCGCCTGTGTCTGCCTCTGCTCAGCGAGCTGAACAAGAGATTTGTGACATCTAGTTTTGGGAGGTCGTCTTGGAACCCACATGTCCCTCGTTGGCATGTCGATCACTCTCGATGTTCATGCTGTTTGAGGAAGATCTCGCCGCTCACGAGGGCTTAGTGCCGTGCTCTGACTCCCCCCCCCCTCCCCCCCCCACCTCGGAAACGAAAACTGCGCCCCCTGGAGATCTGGGGGTTCCCACGCTGCTCGCCCGCGGTGTGCCAGTAGGCGCGCGGAGGGGCGGCCGCGCGGATGTGGGCACGCGCCGAGACGCGCTGCTTCGGCAGGAAGAGGAGGAGTAGGAGGAGGAGGAGGGCTGTGGAATTTTATGTGGATTCGCGGAGCTACTTGCAGATCCTTGCGCGGCATTTGGCGCGCTTCAGGCAGGGCCCCGCCTTCGGCGCGTCTCGCTTGCGGCGGAAAGCGGCGGAAGTGAAATTGAGGTGGCAACACGTTTGGTTTCAACATTTTCGGAATCGACCATTTTGAGGCGGCCCTGTTGGGGCAGGAAGGAAGAGTTTTGGGATGGCCTCCTCATCCTCCCTCCTCCCCTCTTGCTGGTGAGTCGTCCCCGGGATTACTGGGAAATATTCGCATGTGGGATCGACTATACTCCCGCACGTCTTTCGGAAATGACCGACATGCCGAGGAGGATGGCACGCGGTCAGAGGATTGCTTGTCTGCCAAGAAAGTTGTGAACCACGAAGGGAGTTAGGACACGCTGCGCGAGATGCGATTGGCTCCGTGCGGGCGATGAGCCCCCAACCACACGCTGCCGAACCATCGACTCAGCCGACAGTTACTCGCTAGTCGCATCCACACGGGGGAGGAGGAGGATGAGGAGGAGGAGGAGGAGGAGGAGGAGGAGGAGCAGGAGGAGGAGGAGGAGGACGAGGACGAGGACGACGACGAGGAGGAGGAGGAGGAGGAGGGGGAGGGAGGAGCGAGGAAGGAGGGGGATAACGAGGAGGGGGAGGATGGTGAGGGGCGCCAGATGTAGCCGATACATTTTCGACGCGGCCTGCGACCCCAGCTAGGACGCAAGGCGGAGGAGGAGGAGGGGAGCGAGGAGGTCCTCCCCTCCTCGATCTTTCCCAGACTCCTCCTCCTCCGCTTCCTTCACCTCCTCATCCTTCTCATCCCTCCTTCCTCCTCATCCCTCCTCATCCCTCCTCCTCCTCCTCCTATTCCTCCGCATGAGGCGCCGCTGTGCCATCCTACTTGAAGGCGTTTACAGATCTGAAGCTTTACTTCGGGTTTGGATTGACACTCGACCGTACCCGCACATGGTCTACTTCACCGAGTTCCAGGCTCCGAACGGCTCCGTTTTCTCGGGTGCAAGCGGGGTCGCCACGCGCAGCTAACTCACTTGTTCCGGCAGTTGCTACCACCCGTGCAATCACAAACTATGCCATTGTCATCATGATTGTTCGCAGCCACGAGATTTCCGCAGCAGACCGTGACAAGGTCCGCGTTGCACGGTGCTTGCACCGCTCCCAGGCCGAGAGGAACTACCACGCTCGCACATTCACCGCCATGGTGGACTTTAACAGTACCAGCCACCCGCCAACCAGCTTCTTCCAGCCGAGACCACAAATAGCCCGCCGCGGCCTTGACAGCAACGCTCGTTAGCAGCAGCCGTTCTGGAAGTCCATCTTCGATTGGATGCTCGAGATCGAGACCGCCCTACCGACGCGCCTCAGCAAGTCCGACTACACGGCCACGGCCATTGATTGACCGCGTCTTTGCCAGTTTGCCGTCACGCGCGATGCAAGAGATCACGGCCAACCTCACGGGCGAGCGCGATGCCGCCCTCCTCTCCGACAAGCGCGCCTCAACGACCACGCGATCGTATCCCTTCCGCCCGCCACCAAGCCTGAGACGCCACCGCTGGCAGGCCACTTTCCGTGACCCGAACTACGCTAAGTATTTCCAGTGGTTGATCCACGCGTCCAGCACTTCCTACCTTCCCATCGGGTCCCCATGTCGCAAGCAGAAGCCATCGAGTCCCGATGCGCGAGGCAGCCCGTCTGGTCCGCGACGACTCGGCCCGTCCCATGCTGTGCGAGAGCACCAGACATGCATTATTTGACAGCTGCGTGCTCACGGCCCGCTCGATGTCCAGAGAAAAATGGCGCCAGGACGGTCGCCTCGCTTTTCGCCTGCTCTCCGCCACCGAGCTCGGCGCTAAGGTCATTCAGTCGGAGGATGGCCACATCGGCCTCACCGACGACGCCGAGTGCGCCATGCTCTCAGCCGCCCTGCGCCGCGACCTTGAGGCTAGGCAGCGACTTCTGGCCTCATGGGAGTCAAGCCAGAGGCCCCCGCGGGGCCCACATTCACCGCCAGAGAGAGCTCTGAAATGGCCAGCGCACTCCGCGCGCTCTGGCAGCCCATCTTCGGCCACAAGGAGGTCGACGTGACGACGGCCAAGCATTGCATCAACGAGCGCGCGCCGATCGGCGACGCGCTCAATGTCGGCGCCCCCACGAAGGCCGGCATTTGGAACTCACTGACGGGATCTCGAGCATTCTCTCTCGACGCAGACTGCCTCCCGTACTCCGCTTCATCCGCGACCTCAACGACTCTGACTGCGCCGTCTTGCCGAAGGGGGACAACGCATTGGGCGAGCTCCCTGCCGATCGGGAGCCGGGCGACACGCCTCCGCTTCCTTTCGAAAGTACAGACGCCTGGGCCATCGCGGGCGCCGCCAACTTCCAGCTCAAGGCCGCCGCCCAACAACGCACTCACCAAGCTCAGCAGGGCTTTGTCGCGGGCCGCAGCTTCACGAACCACATAGTTCACCTCGGCGCCGAGATGCGCCACGCAGGAGTGGCCAGTGCCCTTCCCCCCATGTTTGTTCGCCAGCGTCGACTTCGCTGCGGCCTTCCTGACGCCCAGGCGGGTCTGTCTCTTCCACGCGCTCGAACGCTTCGGCCTCCCACTGGGCTCTCAGCCTAAAAATGCATCGTACTCGACTTCGCCCCAAGCGGCTTCGTCAAGGCCGACGGCATCCGCCACCGTGCATCCGCGATCGAGTCGGGCGCGGCGCAGAGTTGCCCTGCCAACGGCTCGGCATGGGACATCGCGATGGACCCGTTGACGAGCCATATTGCCTCCTTCCTTGAACGCCTCGACGGTGCTCCGGACCTGAACAAACGCCACGTGGGCGGTTGCGCCGACTACGTGCGCTTGCTGATGTACGACTTTGAAATGCTGCGCAAGGTTCCTTGGCCATTTCGGGCCACAGAGCCTCGCTCTGCTCCCGCTCAAGCCTCGCAAATGCGTTGCGGTCCCGCTCTGGGTCTCGGCCTCCCATGCCACCGCTGCCCAAACCAACGCCTTCCTGGCCGTGCTCGGCGCCTCCCGGGACGGTTTCTGCGCGCCTTTGCAGCACGTCCACGCCCACTACACTCAGCTATGTCGCCCAAGTAGTTCCTCTCGGCTTTTGGATTGCACACCGCAAGCATTGCGCACTTCGCAAGTGCATCCCACCGAACAGTGCACAGTTTCGCACAGTGCATCCCATCGCAATGGCCGCGTAGAGCACACGAGATGTTCTACGTTCTGCCCGCGCCGCCGCCGCCGACGCGTCTGCCATTCGCCCTGCCCTTCTTATACTCAGTGGCGACCGTGGGCCATGTCCGGAGCGCCTCAGCGACGCAGCGTGGGAGGAAAATCGAACTCATTCACAGCGTCGGTGGATCGAAGGCCTCTGGCCCCCCTCCGATTTTGGGAAGAGCCGCGCGTCACCCCCCTGTGCTATCAGTCCCTGTCGCGGGGCCATGCCCCGGACCCACCCCCTGCGCATGGCATTGCGTCAGCGATCAGCGCTGCGAAGACGGGGTCCTGGAAGCCCGAGCCGCCTGCTCGCCCAGGAAGCCGGCTGTACAGAGGGTAATCGCTGCGTCGTCCAAGTTTTACCCGCCTTGCACGGTCGCGATGCAGGAACTCCCGATTGTCTGGGGCATCTCATCACCTCCGCTGCCAGCCGAGTTCGCTGCCCGCTGGCTGGCTTTCGCCAAGTTGCTGAAGGATGTACGCCCGAGGTGGAGGTGGGCCACTTTCAAGGCACTCAGCGGTGGGTGGCAAAGCCCCACGGCATGCGTGTCCCCAATGCCTCTCCTGCCCCGTCCTCTCGAGGTTCCTCTGGTCCCCCGACTTGCCCCCATCCAAGGCAAGTTCACATCAAGGGTTTTGGACCCAGCGGCCACATGCCAAAATGAGCGAGAGAGTGATCTCTCCCTGTTTCGCACAGTCCAGCGAGGTTCGTTCGCATTCCATCTTTCCAGCAAAATAAAGCTAGCTGCCCATCCGACGCCTGATGCCATACCACCCGCGATCAGTGCAGACCATGCCTTAATTTGGCGCTAACTGTCTCCCGTGCCGCTTTGCCAACCGCCCAATCATGTCGGTTGAGTCGTGTGTTTCGGAGACGCGCGTCGACGCCAGGTTACTGTCATCTCCTCCTCCTCCTCCTCCTCCTCCTCCTCCTCCTCCTCCTCCTCCTCCTCCTCCTCTTCCTCCTCCAAACAAACAGCATGATCACAAACATAGAAACATCCTGTTCCGCTTCCTTCTGCCCGTCCTCCTCCTCGTCTCCCTCGTTTTCCTCCTCCTTCTCTTCCTCCTCCTCCCTTGCTCCCTCGTCCTCATCCTCCTCGTCCTCTGCCCCCTCCGTGGCGCCCGGACGGGGGCAGTGGGATCAATGGTGGGTGGCCATGGTCCCCATTTCTAGGCTATTTCATGTTCTTCGAAGAATGTGTGTCCTTGCCCACGCCGTTCGGTTCTTTGAACTGATGTATGGGAATAACGTTGCCCAGGTTACCATGTCGGGTCGTCGCTTTGATTGGATTGACATTCGCTCTGGGGTTAAACAAGGTTGCCCTGCCTCGATGTACCTGTTTGTACTTGCCGTCGACCCCCTACTTCGTTGAATTCGTTACCGTTGCTCTGTCCATATCAGCATCAACCTCGCCTATGCGGATGGTTTTCTCTTTGGTCTTGTTAACACACTTCGCGATTTAGGGCCTGTATTATCTGCTTTGATGTTGTTGGCGAAGATCGCCAACCTGCGCCTGAACTTTAACAAGTGCCAGCTCATTATCTGTAGCGAGATGCGGCGTGACATTCTGAAGGCTACCCTTGAAGATTTTGGCTCTCCGTTCCAGGACCTCCTGGTCTGCTCTTGGGAACTTTACCTTGGGATTCCGATTGGTCCCGATGCGACATCGCCCCTCGGTTTCATCATCGTATCCGTCATACTCGTGGCCTTGGCTTGGTTCCGTGTCATGTGCGTCTCGCTCTTGTTGTTCGGGTGTCAGATGTACCCCCCGAGCACGTCCATTACCAAGCTTTTCAAAGAATGGGTAATGCTGCTTGCTGCTGGCCCGAGGAATGCCGCCGCTCAATTTAAGGAGATTGGGCTGGGTGTTGACTTCACCGACATCCAAGCGGTGGCGAAAGCGGCATGTATCAGCTATCTTCTCCGCCCCCCTGTCTTCCCACAGGTGTTAGCTGATCTTGAGGCTGCACGGGACGATATGGAACATATTCCATTTCGTTGGCCCCGTGGTTGGCATCAACACTCTATCATATCCTACATGCGTGATCTACATTCATGGTACACTGTCTGCAACCCCCGATTTGATATTTCATGTAAGTCCCTTCAACAGAAACTGCATTCCTTCATCCGTAAAAATACTCCCAAGGAGTCGGCCAAATCTATTCATCTGAGGCGCGCCCAGTACTTCATCCCCGAAGCTGGAGCTTCGTTGATCGCCGACTTCTGTCGGAATGTGAAGAAAGTGGCGAAAGACACTTCCATGCACCTTGGTGTTGCACCAATGCGTTTACTCACTGCATCTTTCAACGCAAGTGCAAGATTTCATAGTCTTCCTGCAGGCTGTTTTGTGGGTTGTACTCCGCCTTCCCTGGGACAGACCTGGACTCCATTGATCACTACTGTATATGCCCTGGACTTCGGGACCTCCTGAAATATTGGTTAGGACCGTACCTGGACAAGTACTCTGGACCTATCCGTGGACCGAATGGCGAGTGCCCGTATTGGTTCTGTCTCCTCCTCCTCTTCCGGGAGCTTCCTGAAGTCTGCCTTTTGCGTGCTGCATGTTGCGATGCGTTTCTTGCTGCCCATAACGCCCGCCGCCTCTTTAAATCTGGCTCCCCCGCGGAGCATTTCGAGGCCCGCCTGGGAGTGACCGCACGGAGGCATCGGACTTTGTCGGACGCTTGGTCAGGACGTACTCCTGCAATTGTGCGCAGGCTCACTCCTCGCCCTCGCCCCCCCCCTGAATACGCAATTTGACGAGGCGATACCACAACGGATGCCTGGCACGCCTCGTGGTAGATGGGTGCCTCACCAATAATTGCACCGCCCCCCTTATGAGCCTCGTCACACGGCCTCTCTCGGGAGTGGCCTCTTCCCAACAGACAGGAAACCTAAAGAACTCAGCGTGAACTGGGTAACATGTTAAACACCATGTGGGTGGCCATGGTCCGGGCGGGTGTTGTGGTAGGGGAACGGGGAATTATCCTCCTCCTCCTCCGCAGACGCTCCAATCTCCTCCTCCTCCTCCTCCTCCTCCTCCTCCTCCCCCGCCTTCTCCTCCTCCACCTCCTCCTTCTCCTCCTTCTCCTCATCCCCTTCCTCTTTCCCTTTCTCCTCCTCCTCCTCCTCCACTCGTTTTCCTTATGAATAACACTTCCCTGTCGCACCCCGAGGCCAGTCGACAGGGCGGGCACGGCGTCCCGCCTGAGTCGTCCTCACCATTTGTGATTTTGAAGCTTCAAATTTGCAAGAGCTTCACGGATTGAGGGGGGTCCGCTTTCTAAATGTGGTTCTCGCCTTAGCGCCGCGCGCACTCAGGTGCAGGAGCTTCTCGTGTGGAGGGCCGTCCGTTTCCGAACTGTGGTTCTCGCCTTAGCGCTATGCACATTCGCTTTAAGAGCTTGCAAGAGTGTCACGGACGGAGGGCGGATCCTTGACAAAATGTGGTTCGCGCCCCAGCGCCGCGCACATTCCTTAAAGGAATGTGTAAGTGGAGTCTCACGGCAAACGTCCCAGAAGTAGTGTTTTGATACGATGTCAGAGTGCCAGCGCGCAACAGTCATGTTGAAGTCCCAGAAATAATGTTCTGCCACGACCCTGGATCGTCAAGACGCAACAGCAACGGTGATTCGAGGCGTTGAGGTCCCAGTGATGGTGTTTTGGACAGTTGCAGATTTTCAGACGGTTGTCGTCCAACGGGGCAAAGTAATCCGTGTTGGAGCATATGCAGAGGACACGTGGAGGGAGGGTTTATTGCAAAATCGTTGGTGGGTCTTGGGTTTGCACTGGTCATCCTCCTCCTCCTTCTCCGGCTGATCATGCCCACAATCTCTCGCTGGCCTGGCTTGGGATTCGAAAGGAGGCCCGCGCCACCGCTTGCAAGCGGTGTTGTGGGATGGCAGGAGTAGTCTGAACGGCGTGACCTCAGATGTGTGGCCAACGCTGTAGCATGGCTGGAGCCCATTTTTGATAGGTCGCAATCAAACGATCGACAACATGTTTTCAAGGCGTGGCAACATGAATTCGTAGATATGTGAACAATGCCCGAAACAGGTGGGAGCATGCCAGCTCACTGTCAGGGAAGAGACGAGAGTAGTATTCAGATTGAGTGGATGGACAGGGGAGTGAGGGGGAATGGGGTGAAGCTGGAGGTGGAGGAAGAGCAGCAGGAGGAGGAGGAGAGGAGGAGGAGGAAAAGGGAAAGGAGGATGAAGGCCAGGCTGTACAGCGGCGGGCCAGGAGGCCCTGACATTTCAGGGTGCAGTGGAGGATGAGACGTGCGAGCACAGTGGCACGGGAGGAAGGCGAAACCGCAATGAACATACATGAGGGTCGCTTTCCAACAGGAGGGTCATGAGGACGACGAAGAGGGATCGGAGGAGGAGGAACAGGACGGGTAGGTGAAGTTATGGGCTTCGAAGACGTCTAAGCTGAGTCCAGGGGTCCCCCTGGGGAGTTCTACGTGAATGGGCCCCCTCGGCCGCCCCCCGCGCTGTCCACGGCCTGCCAGGTGAAGATCTTCGAGGTGCTCGACTCGGCAGGGGCGTCGAGAGCGGCCCGCTCCACCGTGCCTGCGGTGTGCTGTTTTTTTGTTGTGCCTGTAGCGCGCCACATTGATGTCGAAAGTTGTGTCTTCGCAGGGCCCCTGTCTGAGGAGGAGGAAGAACCCGCCCCTTGGCTTCCCCGCCAGCCCCACGCCAAGGGGCGACCATAGATACGGGCGCAGCACCGCGCTGGATGCGCAGCCTTCGGCTGGGCAAGACAGGCCCCCATGGCTTAAAACTGCCAGCGAAACATCCTCACCGCCCTGACTTAAAACTGCCAGCGCGATATCCTCAAACCCCTCGCTTAAAACTACAAGGGAGATATCCCCACACCCCTCGCTCAAAATTGCCAGCGAATAATCCTCACCGCCCTCGCTAAACATTGCCAGCGAAATAACTATCCTCCCCCCTGGTCTAAAACTGTCAGCGACATTTCCCCACAGCCCTCGCTGAAAACTGCCAGCGAAATATCCCCACACTCCTCGCTTAAAAACTGCCAGTGACATATCGTCACCGCCTTCGCTTAAAACTGCCAGCGACATCTTCTCAAACCCCTCGCTAAAAATTGCCAGCGACATATCATTATCCCCTGGCTTAAAACTGCCAGCGACATCCTCACCGCCCTGACTTGAAACTGACAGCGCAATATCCTCACACACCTCGCTCAAAACTGCCAGCGAAGTCTCCTCGGCGCCCTCACTTAACCTGCCCGCGAAACATCCTCACACCCCTCCCTAAAAATTGCCAGCGAAGTATCCTCCCCCCCTGGCCTAAAACTGCCAGCGAAATACCCTCACCGCACTCGCTTAAAACTGCCAGTGAAGTATTGCCATCGAAGTACCCTTCCCCCCCCTGGGCCTAAAACTGCCAGCGAGATATCCTCACCACCCCGACTCAAATCTGCCAGTGAAGTATCCGTACCGCCCCCGCTTCAAACTGCCAGCGACATCTCCTCACACGTCTCGCTTAAAACTGCCAGCGAAATATCATTACCATCCTGGCTTCAAACTGCCAGCGAAAGATCCTCACCGCCCTGACTCAAAACTGCCAGCGAAGTATCCTCAACTCCCTGACTAGCAACGGCCAGCGACATATCCTCACCCCTGGAAGTAAAACTGCCATCTAACGGCTTTGGTTATCAGTCAGTCAGTCTACTTCCCCGAAAATCAACGGGCTGCGGCCGCAAATAATACATGCATAAAGAGAAGCGACATTCAAATCCATATTGGATGTCCGCGCGGATTTCTTGGTTCGGCGTTGGCGCCGACCCGATCCAAGACATACCCGGACATCTGACAGCGTATGTTTATCCGGTTGTTTGCGGCAAGCCCCACATTCGTGCCAGCACAGCAGCGCAATGTGAAGGCGGTTGGGTTTGATAACAATGCCATTTCAGCGCGCGGTCTGAATTCGTATAGGTCTTCAATTCGCAATTTTTCCCTCTACCTTGGAGCCATCTGGGAGCCCTGATGGGCTGCCTGGGAGGGTTCCCAGGCAGCCTTGGGGCCATCTGGGAGCTCTCTTGGGACAGTTGTGGGCTGTCGTGGGGGCGTCTTGGGGCTATCCGAGCCTTTCCCGCGGCGATTTGAAGCCGCGGGTCTCGGGATCAAAACATTATGCTTTCTATAAGTTGCTCAACCTGTTTCTCCTCAGCACCTCGCTGGATTCCTCTACGGGCGTATCTTGGAGGTTTTTGGGGCCTATTAGGTGCACCTTGGGGAGAGCTTGGAGTCTTTGGGGGACTTGTTGAGCTGTTTTCGGACGGTCTACGGGTAAGGTTGCGAGCGATTTGGATTCGCTGGGGTCTTGAATTCGACCTCGTTTGTTCGGGAGTGGGGCCTCCTTGGAGTTCTCTTGGACCTTCTTTGAGTGCTCTCGGACAGTCTTGGGGGCTCCCTCGGGGCAGTGTTGGGCCATCTTGGGGGCCTCTTGGGGCCACGATGATTTTCGAGGACCATCTGAAGCCGAAAGCCCTCAGGCGCATACAAAGTGGTCGTCTCACGGGTTTTCGGCGCTTTCTCCTCTGAGCGCCTGGCTGGATGCTTCTTCGGGCGTCTCTTGGGGCGTCTTGGGGGTAATTTCTTGTCTTCGGGGACTCGCTGGGCCGTCTACGGACGGAACGGAGTTCACGACCCACTCAAGTTCATCGCGCGGTCTGGGCCCGCGTGTGTCTTAAGCTCGACCTCGTCCCCTCGGTCATGGAGCCATCTTGGGCCGCCTTGGAGGGTTCTTGGACAGTCTTGGGGCCATCTTGAGTTTCCCTTGGGACAGCGTTGGGCCCTCTTGGGGTCGCCATGTTGCTTTTTTGAATAGTTTCCGAGGTTGTATGAGGCCGAAAAGCTTCGGGACCAACAACTATTGAATTTCTTGGATGGCGTTTAATGGTTTCCGTTCCCTACGGCTTCGTTGGAAGCCTCTTTGCGAATCTATTGGAGCGTTCTTGGATCTGATTGGGATTTTTGGGGGAAGTCGTGGAGCCTATGGGGAAGTTCTGGAGTTGTTGGATGGTCTTGGCGCTTTTTGTAACCGTTCTAAACGAACGTTGATTGTCTTGGAGCCGCCTGGATGCAGAAAAAGGCGCCAGAAAGGGAATTCTAAGGATGAGCGCTAGGAGGGCGGTCAGCCCTAGAACCAGTAAGGAAATGTTGGCTCCTCTACTCGCAGCGGTGTCGAAAGCTGTCCCTTTGCCAGTACCATCCTGAGGTTGGCAGAAGGCAATCACTCTTTGATGACAGCTGGCTTTGTCATCATAAGCCTCACCCCCACCCCATCCTCCCAATCGACGCTTTGATATCGTGTAATCGCCAGGGTCCCATATGCCTCCAAGCGGGGACACGTCTGGCGTGCTCGCACGCACGAGTTTCGGTGTCCTGCAACTCTTTCTTGCTGCGACCCTGCAACCCTTTCTTCAGCAAAACTCAGGGTTATAATTGCACGCGCAATTGGGTGCAAACAGTGGTTTGTTGGGTGGTGTCTGTGCTGGGTGTCTGGGAGAGAAAGTAGTTTCAGAGCGTCCTGAAAACAAACAAACAAGAAACTTATTAAAAAGGAAGGCAAACCACACGACGCTGAACCCTCTGTCTGCCCACCTGCAAGGTGGAGTGTATCCCCAAAAAGTTGCAGGTGGCGGCTCTCTCACACGCCCACCTGCACCTACGTGAGTTTCCACGCTTTGAGGTATTCGTCTACCTCCGTCGTCGTAGTGGGGTGTGAAGCCTGCGCATGAGATGCACGAGAACTCTTGCGTTCGGAGCGTTGGCAATATTTGTTTATGTGGCCGCTCGCTGTCACCCACGGGTTCCCCGAAACGTGCCGATATTTGTCTGGGGAGTGCACACGGATTAAACGCGACCAGATAGAAGGAGACCGCGCTTGCCACGCAGTTGCACAGTCGGTGAGCGGCGCTATTCAAATCACCGAGTAACCCATAGTCAACCAGTTCATGTTCAGATGCTGACGGGTTGCTGTGGTTTTTCCAGTTTCGATGTCTCCGAACATTTCTAATAGTCGTGCAGTCGGTCTGCTCTGGAATGTCCAGGTCACCGCAAAGTCAACATCATTGCTGGTCTCTGCCGACCGTTTTGTTCGCTTTTCTCTTTCGCCAGCGAAGAGAATTTGTAGCAAAGAGTCGACACATGAATCCTAGCGTGCAGCTGGCTTGTCTGTAAATTCTAGCGGGTGTAGTGGGCGGTATTGATGGGAGGGGTCGAACCAAGATTGCGTCGGGAGTATCGCCGGAGCCGTTATACGTCGTTCGTTTTCCAATTTGAGGGGTGGTGAAGTGTTCGCATTGTCTGGATGATCAGTGGCCCTTTTTCTGCGTTACATGTTTCTCTCGCCAGCATGTTCCATCGTCACCGCGCGGCCGTCTGAATCGTTTCGACATGCAAACATCAGTAGCCTAGCCTTATCGCAGCCACCGTGTGGCCGCCTATAGGGTAGTCGCCGACAATACATGCACATTCTTGTCACCCGCGGAACATGTCTCGGCAACAAATTCTTGCATGTCGCCGAGAGTCGACGCGGTGGTCCGGGTCCCAAACGCATCCGAGGGGCAACCTTCGCAAACATGATGATGAGGACAGGGGAAGGGTTCGCAGAGTACGGAGAGAACATGCCAGAACGAGGAAGAGGACGTATGAGGGAATGATCAGGGAGCAAGAACATGGTCTAACGACGACGAAGGCGGCAAGAAAGAGTTGTTGTTGTTGTTGTTTCACGCAATTATCTGTTGTGCAAATTATATAATATGGTCGATGTAGTGGTATCTACAGGATGTAAGCCATATGGTGCAGTACAGATGGTATGAACAATATTTTGGAAACGGCGTTGTGGAAGCTATGCGAAGAGAAAGGACCGATGTAAGCTATATAGCGTGTGGCTCACGAGCGCCCACGATGCAGCATGGGCGGGCACGTCTTTTGCGGAGGCTCCTCGTTGGAGAACCTCTTTCCTTGCGGGCCTCACGAATGCCTTTTAAGGGCGTTGGGGATCTCTGGAGGCCTCCTGGGCGCCTCTCTGGGCCGTCTTGTGGGTCCTTTTGAAGCTTGTTTGGGTCGTCTTGGGTCCCTCTTGGGCTGTGCTGGGGCCTTCTTGGGGAATTTGGGCCCTCTACGGGCCTTCTCGGGATCATCTTGGGCCCTCCTCCTGGGGAGTTCCCGTGGCCCTCGTGGGTCTCCCTTGGGAGCCTTTGGGGGCCCCGCGAGTTTCTTTTGGGCCGCCTTGGGGCAGTCTTGGTGCCCTCTTGGGCTGTCTTGAGCCCTATTGGGGGCCTCTTGGGCCGTCTTGGGGCGATCTCTGAGGCCTCTTTGGCCGTTGTGACCGCTGCTACGACATTGAAAGCGAATATGCTGAAAATGCACGTTTCCCCAAGGGAATGGGAAGTAGTTTGCCGCTTGGGGGCCCTCCTGAAGGCCTCTTGAGGCGTCTTGGGGGCCTCTTGGGCCGTCTTGGGACCTCTTGGGCAGTCTTGAGGCCGTCTTGCGCTGTTTTGAGGCCCTCCTGCGCCTCGTCGACCTCTTCTCTGATCACCTTGGGTCTGCTGGGCAATGTCCGGCAAGGCGACCTGGGAGGCGTGGCAAGGCTGGGGGACTTCTTCCAAGGGTGTTCAGGGGGCCCCAAAGCCCCAGATCTTGGGGAGTTCTGTTGGGGGGGGAAGGGTTTTTCCTGCGCCCCCGGGGTGACACAAATATAGGAAGAGGAACATGTGTGGCGTCCGGCTTGGACTCGTGATGGCCATTGCGGCCTTCCTTTGCGGAAGAGCAGCCCCGTTCATAATGTCCAGCGCCGGGAGTCCACATGGATCCGTTTTTTGGGTGGAGCAGGTGGGTCAGTCAACAAAGCGCATCCACTCATGCAAGCCAGGCTGCGAAATCACGAGAACTTTAGGGACGAGACGCAGTGTAGGGATGATGTTCTCCACGCCAATCTATGTGCGTGGGATGTTGGGGGGTGTTGGGCGGCGATGGGCACGGTGTACGCGCCAGAGTGATAGTGAGTCGCGCTATGTCGCAAAGTAGGCCCGTGCTGAAGAGGAAGGGGAAGGAGAAGCGGCCGCAGAGAGGCAGCTCAGGGGGGGGGGTTCTGGCGCGCTTGAGCGGGCGGGCCGCAAAGTTGACGCAAGCCCGTCGGCGTTCCGTCGGCTTGTTTGCTGTGAGCCCGGCAGTGTTTGCAGCCAGTCCCGTGCCCGAGGTCGATTTCAAGCAAGAGCGAGCGCGGGCAATTTCTAGCTGACGATTCCGCTCCACCTCGCCTCAGCACGTGCGTAAGTTCCTCTTCAGGGGGACAGCGGCGGGGCCGTAGCCCTGGATATCATCTGCTTCCATTTACACTGAAAGCCCATGCCAAGACACACGTTGCTTCCCTCCGGGGTGCCCTGGGTTTCCTGGGTTTCGATGGTTTTGCTACGGAAAACGTGACGGTCAGACACCCAAAATCAATGGACGCCCTGGGGTCTCATCCTGGGGTCTCAGGGTTGGGTTTCTTGTGGAAGGTTTCTGGTGGTCGAGCTCCTGCTGCAAATTCGTTCGAAAAGCAAGAGCATGTTGCACAACCATCCATTTTCGGAGGTCCACGCGGCGGCCCGTCGTCCGGCGTCACCCCCAGCGCGCTCTGGGCGCAGCGCCGACCCAAGAGATCTGCTCCGACCTCCGAAAATGATGTTTGCTCTCGCTCTTCCCGTATACGTTCATTGCGCCGTGCTCTTACAAAGTGAGCGTTCTCCAGAACTACCTGCGGGTGGGCTTCTCGCTGGCGAGGTCCGGGCTGTTGATGGTGGACTCGCAGGATTCCCGAGGGCACGCGCGCTGCGGTGATACAGTCCCGGTGTTGGTCGATTTGGTGCCCAGGAAGGGACCCAGGGTGAGCTCTTGGGCCAGGGGGGGACAGAAGGACGACGCGTTGAAGGCTTGGCCATCCATGCCCTAGCACTTGTGCCTTCGACTCGGGCTGACTTTGAGTGTTCAGTCGGCCAACAGGAATGCGAATGCACGAAGGTCACCCGATCGAGCAGAAGACGATCGTAGTCACGATAGTCCTCGATCGTTGAAACTCGACTCGACCATGTGGGCAGCGCGCAACTTTTTGCAATCGTCACCATCGTCAGCGCTGCGAGCAGTGTGGCCAGATCCACTTATAGGCCCAACCCGTCGGCCCAAACCGCTGGCAGCCAAATGAAGGGGCCACGCTAGCCAGTTCCTGCGCTGCCTGCTGTCTAGTGTGATGTGAAGGTGCCAGGCTGTGGTGGCCGTTGCGTTTCGTATGCAGCCTTGTCCCCCTCGTGATCGGCTGTGCGAGCAGCATTGGCAATTGCATTTGGCTTTGGCGATGGTAGCCCAGACGTGTCCGAAACTTTGATTGCCGAGTGGAGGGTTTGCGCTCAGACGCTGAACCGATGAAGTGGGACAGTACACGCTGGTCGTTGAGAGTAGGTATTTGTGGATGCCCAGATCCCAATCTACTTCAAGCGCCCTCCTACTTCAATAATCGATATGCTTTTGCTGTTAGTTGCTATTACCTGGGAGGGCCTGGACCCAATCTACTCTATCCGCCTTCCTACTTCATGTCTTTACCTACTTCTTCCGACCGACGGGTCAGCAGCGTTCGGAGGGCAATGGTGGGGAGCACGAAGCTTTCGGGCTTCTCCAGTCCAGTGCCCCTGGTCAAGTCGAAATTGGCGGTTTCCCCCCAAACGCCGAACATTGCATCCCCAGCATCGTGTAAATCGGCTAGCATCTCGGCCAGCGCCCATCTGCTTTCACATCGAGAGCTTCTCTCTCCTGGTCTGGAGGATTACGTGTGCTTCGACAGCGAGGGTTTTATCGCGTTTGCCAAGACGAAGAGGAAGTTCACACATAAGTTCAACCGGGAAGAGACGGTGTCACGGGCCACAGAATTGCCATTGTGAGTTTTCATTGCCTAGCAGTCTGAGAGAGTTGTTGTTGCCCAGATCACCAGTCAGTCTTCCCAGACTTGTTCAGCAAGGCCCGATTATGGCAGGTTTGGGTATTTGATTTGTCCGACCATCGGGGCCAATTACTTTTTCAGCTATCACGCAACCCATATCGTGAGCTTCATCTGTGCATTGCCCAGTAGTGTCCCCGATAGACTCAGCAGATGTCGAGGCCACATCAATGAACCACTCCCTCGGCCGCGACAACGATTTTTCCCGTTGATGCGAAGGCTTGCTATACAAGGTCAATGGGTGTTGCATCGCACTCACCTCCTCTTCCTCCCTCCTCCCTTCTCCCTCCTCCCTTCTCCCTCCTCCCTTCTCCCTCCTCCCCACTCCTCCTCTTCGAATGCACTTAGACGGGTCTTGCCCGCCTTCCGAACCGTGCAAAGCTGGGTGGGGTGGGGTGGGGTGTGGGGGGCTGCAATGCCCGAAAGAGGAGGATGACGAGGAGGGGCAAACAACCCACCGCAGCGCGTATTTTGATCGCCGAATAGTTCGTCGCGATCGCGTTCGTCTTCGGTCGCACGACAGCAGTTCGTGTTGCAGGATCGAACCGATTGCGAGAGGAGATGCCGAGTCGGTTGCTCCGTCGGCCAGGCGACTATTGCGACAGGGCCTCGATCCGATCACGCCACTTGGCATTGAAGCCCCACCCCGTGTTGCGAATCTCCTTGGCAAGGCTTCTGGGCCCCGAGGGCACCGTGGAGCTCCCTCGGCGGGTGACCGGCCATCCCGGAGGCACCTGTTGGCAACAGTGGGCAGCTTGGCGTCGGCTACGGTTGGGTGGTGGTGGTTCGGAAATGTGCCCAGGAGGCCTCAGACCCTGGAAGAATCCTTATTTGATGACGGCGGTGATGATGTGATATCCATGGCTAATCCACGATCGGAATTCCACCAGCTCCTGGGCCCTGGATTCCTTATCCAATGGTTCCTTATTCAATGCACTCCCTCACCGTAGTTGGTAGACGAGTCAGAGGTGTCGCGTTGGTCGACGAGTCCCAGGTGTCTGGCCGCATTCGCGGCCTCTTCCCAGCAGTTCAGGCTCTGACAAAGTTCCACCAGCGAGGTTGGGGGCCAAATTGAGATTTCTCGGCCTGCCTGGAATCTAATTTGGGCAGCATTGGGGCCGGCATTCGCAGTTAGCCCCCTCGGAAGCCACTCGCACGACGCACCTCGGGGTACCACGGGGCCACCCCAGAAGAGGAGGTCTGGTTGCGTGTTTAAAGGTTCACTGGAGTCCTGAAGGGTTCTAGGTGGTCTGGGAGAGGTGGATGGGGAGAGGAGATGCTTCGAATGTCCGAGGACATGCGAATGCTTGAATTGAATACCTTCCGATTTCTGCCGCTACCGGCAAGCCCCACCTCCCTGGCTTCGAAGCCCGAGGGGAGTAAGCCAGCCTCCCCTCCCACTCCGAACTGGGGGGGGGGGGTTCAGAAGCTCCCCCCCCCCTTCTGGGCTTGGTTCGGTCTGGGGGGGGAGGTGGGGACCCCCCGCCCCGGGGCTCGAACGAACCAGGGCGGGGGTCGCAGGGAGGGCGGGGGGGGGCGCCAAGGGCAACGACGTCTCTGGCGACAACGACGACCACCACCACCATGCACCATCACGACGACGAACACGACCGCGATGGCGACGACGACGACGACGACGACGACGACGAGGACGACGACGACGACGACGACGACGGAGGCGGCGACGACCACGACGTCGACGACGACGACCAGACCGAGCGCTAGTGGGATGATATGAAAGTTGGACCGAGCCCCAGTGAGGTTGCATCAAGGCTGGATCGAGCCCTAAGAGGATTCGGCTAGAGCTGCATCCAGACCATCGGAGGATCCTATCAGAGTTGGATCGGACCCTACGAAGGTCTTATTAGAACTGGATCGCTGGATCCAGCCCATCGTAGCATCTTCAAAGTTGGATCGAGCCGTAGTAGGATTTCATCAGAGACGGATCCGACCCCAGTAGCAGGATTTGTTGAGAGTTGGACCGACCTTTTGTAGGATTCCAGTAGAGCTGGACGCATATATATATATATATATATACATATATATATATACATATACATATATATATATATATATATATATATATATATATTTGAGCCGTATCGAGCCTTTGCGGAGTTCTATTGCTAGCAAGAATTTGTTGGAGCTGGGTCCAGCCCCTCTGGCAGGATTCGATTCATGCTGGGTCGAACATTCTGCAGGATTCCATTAGATGTGGACTCGGCTCCTGTAGGCCTCTAGTATGGAGTGGATCCAGCCTTAGCGGCCCCGTAGGATTTCATTAGAGCTATGTCCAGCCTTGGCCCCCTCGGCTGGCGTCGTCGTCGTCGTCGCCGTCGTCGTCGTCGTCGTCGTCGTCGTCGTCGTCGTCGTCGTCGTGGCCCTCGGGGGCGGCCTTCCCACCACCCTCCCCCCCGGTGCGAATTCCAGAAGGGGAGGCCCTTCTCAGCCCCCTCGACCCCCCGGTTCGAACCGGGGGAAGGGGGGTGGTTGCTCCCACCCCCTGGCTTCTGGGGGGGGAGGGGGGGCGTCCCCCGCCCCCTTCCCCCCCGATTCCTGGGGAACGTCGGGGGGGATTTGTAGCCAGGCGTGGTCTTACAGCCGTTGCAACCCCGGTTTTTTCCAACAAATGGTGTTGAATTTGTGCGCGTCGTGTGTCTTCCCGCGGTCGCCCCGCATCCAGCTGGCGCTGGCCCTCTGCAGCAAAGCTTGACGTTTCCCGGCAACGTGACGAACCATCGGATGCTCCCGCTTCTGCAGCCTCGTGGGCCCTCTTCCTGGTGAACTGGTTCGCTTTGCTCCTCACGCTTCCAGCGCCTCCAGCCCTTGTTTCGGTCCCTGGGTGTGGCCGTGATGCCGTCCCGCGTTCGCTGCCATGGCACTGCAGTCCCAGCTGGCCGCTCTGGTGCGCTCTTCCTGCAACGGTTTCAGCCGTGAGTGCCCTCCTCTTCCTCCTATGAATACTCTGCAGCCGCTCCGCCTCTCCTCGCCCTTCTCTTGCTGACGGACAATGAGATAGTCGCGTGTTCCCGACAACTCGAGCGACCGTGCGGACCGTGCGGCTCCCCTCGGAGGCGTTGCGACGTAGAAGTTGTCCCGCGGTCTGTTTGTTTTCTTCTCGCTCTCTCTCTCTATTTTCTTTATGTTTCTCTCTCTACACACATATATAGATATATGTATCCGTCTCTCTGTATACAGATCTGCAGATGCATCCATCTATATATATATATATATACACGGGGGTACTATAGTTTTGACCATAAAACGTCATGCTGTCGACGCCCCCTGCCCCCCCGTAGGATTTTAGCGACATGTTTTGGGTCGGGCGGCGGTTCGACTCCGATGGGCTCTCACCCTGTAAGAATATAATAAAATATATATTTAAAACAGGGTGATAATTACCCCGTCCCATTTACAATAGGGCCGGAAAACACTCCGACTTGAACCCATTCACAGTAAACCACTCCGCTTGGGTCACGTTTGATCGTCCGTGTCATCATCCCCATCGACCCTGTCCTTATCATGCCAACGCGATGTTTCATTGTATTCCTTGTTGCATTGATGCGGTGGGACCCTGGGCATCCTTCTCCAATGCGGTCGCTCTCGGTTCACTGGTTAGCACCCATTCACAGTAAACCACTCCGCTTGGGTCACGTTTGATCGTCCGTGTCATCATCCCCATCGACCCTGTCCTTATCATGCCAACGCGATGTTTCATTGTATTCCTTGTTGCATTGATGCTGTGAGACCCTGGGCATCCTTCTCCAATGCGGTCGCTCTCGGTTCACTGGTTGGCCGTCCCAGAGGGCCCACAAAGGCTCGCGAATCCGCATCAAGGCACCTTTGCATCCTGATCGGTCCTCCGCGGCACGCGTGACCAGCGAGGCAATTCTCATCTTATGGTCAAAAACTTGAGTACCACCGAAGTGTACATATACATGTCTATATTGTGTTCTCTCTCCGAAGCGAAATGTCCCGGCCTGGATTCGAACCTCACACCTGCAATGTCAGACAATCCGCTATCGACCGAGCTAGATCGGGAATGATATTGGTCGGGCAGGTCAGCGAATCTCGCGTGCGCCCTTAGGCGCAGGACAGAAAGGGCGCAGGACAGAAAGGGACTCGGCGGAGGGCAGGGGCCAAAACTAGGTGGCAGGGCTGAAGGTGTGCCCGTAGAAAGCGTGGACCAACAAATGATGTGTCCGCGCATATGCCAGTCTAAGCAAACAGAGCAAAGGACTGGGCACGCGGAGGATGCGGACCAAAGATGGGCCCGCTGAAGGTGCGGGCCAACAAAATTCGGCCCTTACATCTGCCCTTCCAAGCGAACAGAGAAATCTATTGGGCACGCGGAGGGTGCGGGCCAAAGCTGGATCCGCGGAAAGTGCGGGCCACAACAAAATCTCCCGCACATGTGTCCTTTTGGGCAGCAAAACGAGAGAGGGCACGCGCAAGGTGCGGGCCCCAAAAATTCGCCCGCACATCTGCCCACTCCAAGCAAACATAGGAGAGGACTGGGCAAATGGGGAGCGCGGATCGAACCAAACCATGGCGGCAAGTGCGGGCCAAAACATATTGGCCTGCGCATGCGCCCACTCCGAGCGCACAGGGAAAGGGACTGGGCACGCTGGGAGCGCGGGCAAACATATACCGGCCAGGACAGGGGTTGGGCTCGCAGAAAGTGCGGGGCAAAGCAAATCAACCGGCATATCTGCTCAGTCCAGGGGGGTGGGCCCGCGGAAAGTGCGGGCGCCACACTCCCCGCCAGCACCCCCCCGCGAGTCCAATCCTTGTCCTTCCTTGTCTGCTTAGAGTAAGCAGACTTGCGGGCCGCAGTTATGACAGTTTTGGCCCGCAATGTCCGCGAGACCAATTCCAGCCATTCCGTGCTTGTTTGGGGTGGCGCATGCGAGGGCAACATTTAATTTGGCCCGCAAACTCCGCGAGCCCAATCCCAGCCGTTCTTGGTCTAACTGAGGTCAGCAGATTTGCGGGCCATTCTCGTTTGGCCTGCACTTTCCGCGAGCCCAGTCCCTGCCTTTACTTGCATGTTTGGGGTGGACAGATTTGCGGATCATTTGTTGGCCCGCACTCCCCGCCAGCACCCCCCCGCGAGCCCAATCCCTTCAGCGCCCGCTCAGAGCGAGCAGGTGTGTAGGCAATCCGCAATTTCCGCGAGCCCGATACCAGCCCTTCCCTGTGTGCTTGCGGACCTTGTTCTGGGTTGCCCGCCAATTTCTGCGAGCCCAGTCCCAGCCTTTCCTTGCTTGTCCGGGGTGAGCAGATTTGCGGGTGTGTTTTGTGTTCTGTTCTCCGTGGTGTTTTGAGTGCGCAGATTGGCGGGCTATTTGCTTCGGTGTTTTCTTTCATTCTTTGCGAGCCCAATCCCCCGGGCCCTCGTCCTACCTGGGGCCCGCTCTTGCTGCAGCTCGGAGGCGCAGGGGTGGGTGGTGTAGGGGTATATGTATACATATAAATGTATATATACACACACAGAGAGTGAGAGGTAAAGATAAAGAGAAAGAGAGAGAAAGAGACAGAGGCAACAGAGAGAGAGAGAGAGACAATGCATCAAGAAAAGGGCGAGGGAGAGAGAGAGAGAGAGAGACAAAAAACGCAAAAAAGCATAAACATTGGTATAGACAGAGACAAACCCAGTATCGTCCAAAACGTCCTGGCCAACCCAGGCATGTGAGACCACACCCGCCAATGTGTGACCCCCCCCCCTCAGTTTCCGGAGGGCGGGGGAAGATTTGTTGCAGCCAAGCGATGGTTGATCGCGTTCCCTCCATGATGTGAGGTGTCCCGCCTTGCGCGGCCTATCTACGCTTGGACTTGCATTCTACCTTCCCCCTTCCCCATATCCCCCCCCCTTTCGCCAGGTGGCAGTGCTGCTCAACCTCGACGCGGGCAGCCCGAACGCGAACACGATCAGCCTGTTCCGGAACGGCAAGCGCGCCACGGAGCCACAGGCAGACAGAAGAAAGAGACAAGCCCCGCAAGAGGAGGGGAACATTCGGAAATAGGGTATTCCAGAAAAGGCCTCGCATTCGAGAAATCGATGGGAATTGCGTTTCCTCCTCGGTGGAAGTCCATGGAAGGCAGGCGAAACGCGGCGGAAGCAAAACGAGGGCTGCTCTGCCGGCGGAAGGCTGGCGGAACTAAAATAACATATTTGATGGTGGTGGTGGTGACGCCATTTCGGTGCCTGATCTCGATATCTTGGTCCCGCCACCTTTTCTCCTTTTCCTTCTTCCCCTGGGCAGCCGCGGGCGGGCGACGCTCCCGGACATTTTCGGATCTGATCGGAGGTTTGTGTCACAAAAGGTGCCACTGGGTTCCGGAGTTCTCCGAAGCCTTTGTGAAGTCCAGAATTGGTGGCGGCGGCAGCCAGCGTGAGGATGCGGAGAGAGGGAGGAGGGGCGGAGGAGGAGGAGGAGGAGGAGGAGGAGGAGGAGGACCAGAGTAAACCCAGGATGCGTACAGGATGTTTCAATACACCTTCCCATCCAAAGCTCCCCCCCTCACGGGTCCCTGCAAGCATCCCCTTTCATTGGCGCCCCACTGCCAGGCGAGCGCCCCCCACGGGCCCTGCCGTTCGGGCGAGAGCCACGTCTGAGAAGTGCCCACTCTCCACCACAGCAGTTGCATTAAGTCGGGCCTGTCCCTCTACAGGGCGAAAATTTTCGTCTGGGGAGGATGTTTCGACTATTTTGTACTATATTTGAATATGTTGGGGGCATGTTTAATTTTTCGCCCAGAATCCGCGTGAAGGGGGACATGCCCGACCTAAGAGCTGCAGACCATGCCCACCCACACGACAGCAGAATTCACTGAAGTGCCACGCGAGAGCCGCACTTTGAGAAGGAACCGCCGCGTATCCGTGAAGCTGCTGCAGTGTGTAAGCCTTGGGCTTCAATGCTTAAGAAGCAGCCCAGTGAGAGCCCAATGTTGTAAAAGAGCCGCTCTCCATCAGCGCAGCCTGTGATATGAAATCTGGGAACAGCACGAAGGCTACGTGCGCTTCTTCAAAACGAGCCGTCCTACAACTGGCCCGCTACTGCAACATCTTCGCGCTAGTGTGGTGCGCGGCACCTAGGCGAGAGGCAAACGTTGAAAAGATGGGCCCTCTATCCGAGTAGCTTCTGCAAAATGGTACAGTACATATGTGCGGCGTTCGGGCGATTGGCACATTTTGATAACCACGTGTGTCCCACACGTGCCATTGCTGCAAACGTCTAGGGTGAATATGCGCAGCACCAAAGCAAGACTAGCATATTGAAAACATACGAAAAATCAGGACTCTCTCATCAGTGAGCCCTTCGCTTCAAGAAGAAGGTGCGCGGCACACCATCAATCATAAGGAACTCTTAGGCGAAGCGCCTGGCCTGCCCTAGCGACATTTCTGGTGGAACGACGAGGAGGATTATGTCAGGAAGTAGTTGGGGGTTGATCGGAGGGTGTCGCATCTGTAAGGGCTTCGCCCTCTGCCGCCGGTCCCCTTATATTCCAATGGGGGATGTCGAAGCTATGCCGGGACGTGCCAGCTCTGGTTTGGAAAGTTATGGGACGATCATGCGAAGATGAGTAGCATTCGGCAAGCACCTTAAGTTGTTGGACTTGTTCTTGAATGCTCTGTTTTCTCGTCAGAGAGCGAAGTTGGCGTAATTTTCACGAGAAGCTGGCCTCGGGAGCGCGTCGCAATTTGCAAGAAAGGACTCTGGCCTCGGGTGTGCAAGTCCGATGTAACTCACAAAAGGTTTTGGTCTCGGGAGTGCGAATTTGAAATACCTTACAAGGGATTCGGATCCCGGAAGCGCGAACCCAGTGTAATGTTCAGTGGATCTCGGTTTCGGAAGCACGAACTTGGTGTAATTTAGAACGGAATTTGGCTTCGGGAGCGCGGATGTGGAGTAATGTATAACGGATTCTGGCCTCGTGAGCCAAATCGGGCGGAATGTGTAAAAGGATTTGGGCGTCGGGAGCGCGATTCTTGTGAAAGTTACAAAGGGTTCTGGCCTCGGGATCCCGAGCCTGGCGTAATTGACGAAGGATCATTGGCTCAGGGGCGCGGAGCTCACGTAGCTATTTCGTACGTACCCCAGGGTCCACCAAACATTCAGGCAACGCGCTTCGGGGATGGTGGCCACTGCAGTTTCCGGTTCCCCCCCGCGCGGACAGTAACCATTCACATTAGGAAACAGAAAGTAGGGTTATAGCATTGGAGGCCGGTAGAGCTGGAGTAGGTTGCAGGAAACCTTAGCCGCGAAGCTTGACAGCCCCACAAGGGGGCCAGCGGATCGCCAAGGCATTGTCAGGTTTTCTTCACTCTCCGTCCGGCGGCCAGTTTGCTATGGGTTGGTAGCGAGGGCCTGTCAAAGCGGGGGGATTTGTGTTGCCCTCTGTGTATAGCTCGCCACGCGTTGCTCTGCCTGAGCTGCGCAAGGGAAATGCGCGCCGCAGCCCGCAGCCAATCAAAATGACAGGCAAGGCCGTACGATCGAGGAGAAGCAGGTGGAATTCTGGGAGGCAGAGGAGAAGTATTATGAGGAATTGGACCAGGGCAGGGCAGCCCACGTTCACAATGGAAGGGAAAGGGTTACATAATCACAGGATGATGAGAGAACGAGCGTACGGAGCTGACAGTGTAAAAGGGCAGGTGGGAAGCATTCAAGATGAACAGTTCTGCCGGTCCTTTAGATGTGAAAAGGTGGGTCAGGCAAGTGCGGTTGCATTAGACTGGCCGGTAAGAAACATGGACTCGTGCGATACCTTATTGCGATCGCTTGCGATCCTAACACAGAATATTGCCTTGTCGCTCAGCAATTACACCGTGTTGCACGCTAGTTGAGACGGCACGAATTTGTTTTGACAGCGCGAATTTGGGAACAGTCAAGCGCTGACTGAATCTGTATCGACACAGTTCCTGACCTCTGTCCCAGATAAGTCAACGAGACAGAGCACGCACGATGCAGAGAGGACATAATGCATAGAACAGGACGTGCATGCAATAGGTGGCAGGTTGCGCACGTGGGACCCATTCGTCGTTCGCCTGTGAATCAACGCAGCAGGCCTTGCCCGAATTCCTGCTTGGAAAGACGTTGTACCCCGCCGTGACGTACAAGAACGTGAGCTTGCAGGTGGCGCGCGGCTCTGGCAAATTGGCGAGTTCGGTGTGCAGGCTTGACGCCCGAGAGGCAATCGGTCACGTATTGAGTTTGCTTTCTATTGTCAGCTGCAGGGTGCCGTTGAGTGCTAGGCGCTCAACTCGGAGTCTAAGCTAAAACGTGGCACCAAGACTGCAGTCATAACAGGGAGGTAATGACCAAGAGATACGCAGCGGGATCGGGACCATCAGTAAGTTCCCAGGGCATCAGGGGCAATTGTCGCTACTGCTGCGGCCTCCTTCGTACCTGCATCGCCCCCGGCCTCAACAATGCGAAAGGGTGTGAGGGGTGAGACGTGCTTCGACGGTATGACGGCATTGATTGCGAAAGGTGCTAGAACAGCGTCCCGAACCGATCAATTGGAACGGGGGTTCGCACCATATGCCAGTCGATCGGGTGAGACCGAGGGAGAGTTACTTCGGTGGGAAACTGGTCTGGCGCAGGGTTGGTAGAGCATTGCTTCTGAAGCAGCTAGTGGCCCGAGACATGCGCGCGTCGGTGTGAGCCTAACCCTCCGCTACCACCTCAACAGGGAAGACAGCCATACGCTTCCGCCTAGCGGAGGCAGAGGAGGAATAGCGCATCGCCATCTCCCATTCCTCCCGTTCCTGCTCCTTTTTTACGCTCCTCCTCGTGCTCCTTCCCTTCCTGGTGCTGGTGCTTTTCCTTGTCATGGTCCTCCCTCTTTGCGCCTCGTCAGCAGTCCCATCATGCTGTTACTTGGCTAGAGATGTGTGGGTTGCTCCTCCTGCGCATATTTGTCTCCCTCTTCGGCAATATGCGTTGTTGGGTCACACCGATTGCATCCGCATCCCCAGCATACGCAATCACATGGTTCCAGGCTCCACATCTCCGTCGTCGCCCTCATCCATCTCCACAGCTATTCTGACTCGAACACTTGGACGTCTACATATTTTTGCATTGTACAGGTGGGCACTCCCCGATCTGACATCGGGATATGGCGATTAAAACTGTCGTTCGCGCGGCTGTTACCGTCTCCGTTGTTGGCGCCATTTCGGTTGACATGCAGAAGGCGGGAACGATGTGGACGATGAGCGATTTGCCGCGCTCGGTGTTGAAATCCAAAGATGATGCGGTTTCTGGTTGTGGCAAGGAGATCCCTGGCTACTTCCAGTTCCCAGGCCTCAAGTGGGCAAATACTTGGAGAAGCATCGAGACCTGGAACAGCACCGTGTGCGCACAGACTTGCGACGATAATAGCAATTGCATCGCTTTCACCGCCAAGGCACGGCAAGACAGGCACGGCAAGATGCACTGCAATTTGTACAAGGGCCTCTTAAAGCAGATGGACCACAGGGCCATGTCCTACATGAGGTGCGTTAGTGGTTTCGATTGCGAGGACGGGTTCCAATTCACCCACGCGGGGACTTGGAAGGGCGGCAAGCAGATCGACAAGCTGGATTACGAAAGCAAGGCGGAGTGCCGACTGGCGTGCTACTACAACAGGGGGTGCGTCGGCTTCACGTACCGCGTAACAAAAGAGGGAGACACGTCCTGCTTCCACTTCGAGAACGAGGAAAACAAGGAGGGGCCCACGCGCGACATGCGCTCCAACACGTATTCCAAGTGCGCCCAGTTCCAGGTTCCAGCAGCTCCGGAGAGCCAGGCCTTCCTCCTCCGTGTCTTTCCCTCGCTCTGTCTCCGCCTCCTCCCCCCCTCCTCTCCCCCTGCTTCGCTTAGATTGTCGGAGCCCGGCGACCCTCTGGGCAGCAGCACCTCACGGCCTTCTTCCAGACCGATCCCCGCAGCCCTCCCGAGCAATCCCCTGGCCAGTTTTCTTGACCGTGTCCAGCCTTGGCGGGAGGGATCCCCTCGAAGGCCCAGAAAGAGGAGGAGGAGGAGGAGGAGGAAGAGGAAGAGACGCAACTCCCCTCAGGCCCCGTGGAGGAGGAAGAGAAGAGGGAGGCGCTTCCTGAGCGGCTGAAGTGGACAGTCCACTCCCAATTGGGCGCTGTCGCTGCCGCCTGGGCCTCGGTTGGCTTCGCGTCAGGCGACGGCGAGGCAGCCTGGTAGCCCCCCAGCCGTGGCGACGAGGAGTCCCAGAAACGGAGGAGGAGGACGAGGACGAGAGATCAGGTGCCGAGCCGAGTCTAGGAGCATCCCGCCACCCCCTTAGCTCTGGCGTTCGGGCGATTTCGCGGGCCTTGTTCGTTTAATTTCGTCTTCAGCAGAGGCGGAACCAAGACAGAACGAGGGAGAACGAGAGCGAAACGAGAACGGAAAACACGCTGTGGCTCGAGCCCTGCCCTCCTCCAGGCCCTGGACTCCAAGGACGAGGAGAGCCTGGACCCGGCCTCGGCGGACGAGAGCGACGCAGCGTGAGCCCGGGCGCCCGCCCGCGGCGAGGGCCCGGGGCTGGGCGTCCCGCCCTCGCGCCGGGGCTCCCCCGTCGGAGCGCCGTCCCGGGGCCCTCCCCCCCGGCGCCTCGAGAGAGACCGGAGGTCGGGGCCTCAGAAGCCTCGGGCGGGTGGTACAAAGGGGGGGTGGCCTGAATGGGAGGTGAAGAGAAAGGCCCTCAAGGTGCCCCTTAGGATTCAGGGCCCTTTTTGAAGGCAGCAGGGGCCCCAGAGGGGCACTGAAGCCCAAAAGGGCACTGAAGTGCCTCTGTGGGGCCCTTTTCTTCACCATCTGTTTAGGCCACCCCCCATTAACGCCCGCCCGAAAGCCAGGACTCTGGGAACCAGGACTTTGCATGCAAAATCCGGTTGGAGAGGGCGGAGATATGGAGGACACGTTTCGTCCCGCGGCTGCGACGCTAGAGGCTTCGCATAATCCCACCAGCCCATCCAGGAGCGATGCCCAGACGAGTTGCTTGGGGATGTGGAGGAGAACGCAGTGGAATAAAGGGCTGAGGAAGACGTCGTGCCCCAAGAGGGGGGGTAATCGGAGGAGGAATCGGAGGAGGAGCAGGAGGGGCAGGAGGAGTAGTAGGCAGAGGGATATGGTGAGGAGGGAGGACGAAGGAAGAGAAGCAGGCGGATGATAAATAGGACGAATCCGAGGAGGAGGACGACGAAGAGGAGGCGGAGGAGGAGGAGAACGAGCAGAAAGGCCAGAGACCTCTTGGATGCCTCTTGGAGTCTCTTCCGAATTCTTTGAGAGTTTCATGGAGTCCTCTTGGAGCGTCTTGGGGGTCTCTTGGCAATAACAGTGGCCTCAAGGCGTCTTGGTGCCTCTGGGGGTGCCTATTGGAGCCTCTTGGGAAGCTCTTGGGAGCATCTTGGGGACCTCGTGGGGACCTCTTGGGACCTCCTGGGCACCTCTTGGGGCTGTCTTGGGGCACCCTTGGGAGCCTCGGGGACCATCTTGGGGCTTTCTCGGAAGAGATCGATCAAAGGAGGGACCATGGAAATTTAGGGTCCCCCCCCAGGAGGTAAAAATGTGGCCACAACCCTGTTACAATCAATGATTTGTTCGTTCTCGACAAGGCCTCTTGGGGCGTACCGGGTACCTCCGGGGGGCCTCTTGGGGCGAAGTGGGTGTCTCTTCCCGGGGGCTTCTTGTGGCCTCCTAGGCACCACTTGGGGCCCTCTCAGTGTACCTTTTGGAGCCTCAGGGACCATCTTGGGGCCATCTTGGAGGAGATCGACCAAAGGTTCTTGGGGCGTCTTGGGTGCCTCTGGGAGGCTTCTTGGGGTGTCTTGGGGATCTCTCGGGAGCCCAATGTAGTGGCATCTTTGAAGCCTTTTGGGGTCTCTTGGGGCCTCCTGGGCACCTCTTGGGGCTCCTCTGGGGGACCCTTTGGAGCATCGAGGGCCATCCTGGAGGAAATCGATCAAAGAAGGGGCCGTAGTACATTAGGTTCCCCTCCCCAGGAGGCCAAGATGTGGCCAACACCAGGAAGTGGAATCAATGATTCTGGCTTCCTCGCCGAGGCCGTGTTGGAGGTTTCAACCCCTGGCGGAAGGCCCCGTCCAGATCCAGGGCGAGGGGGTAGGGGGAGGGGTAACCCCTCTCGAAGGGGAAGGAGGGGGTTGGAAGAGGAAACGCTTGGAGCCACTCACGCCCTCCAGGGCCAGTGGATTTCCTTGGGCGCGCCAGAGTCATGGTTTATCACGGCCCAGGGCCTACAGGGCCTTGACGAGGCCAGCGGTTTCTCGTCCTCTCGGGGGCACCGACGAGGGCGGCCTCCAGCCTCGGCGCCATCACAGAGCGACAGACCTGGAGAAGGTATGGGCGCGGCCAAGAACGGGGTGATGACCAGAAGGAGGGGAGATCATGGCCTGAGGCCGTGCTGCTTCCCCGGATCTCATGGCCCCCTCTCCTTGCTTCGATGCGTTCTTTGCTTGCCCCCCCCCCAGGCCGCGCACGTGCCTCGGGCCATGAGTTGCGAACCCCTCTTCTTGGACGCCCCCCTTCTTGGACGCCCCCGAGGAGGGGTGGAGGGGCCCCCAGGGGGGGAAAACAGCGGGGATGGCAGTTGACGCCATCATGGGAAGTTGCAAAGGTGTGGAGGTACGTTGGACCCTCCTCTGGAGACGTCTTCGTTGGCCGAGGGTCCCTAGAGGAGTCCTTGGCCCCCTCCAGTGGCGATTGACGCCCTCATGTAAATAATGGGAGTGGGGACCCTCGCAACCCCTATGATGGAAGTTGCGTGGGATGTGAGGCCTATTGATGGTCTTCACTGGCGAGGCCTAAAGACGGTCCTCACCTGGAGGGAGGAAAGGAGGGGAGGAACGATGATGTTCAGGGTGCCGATGCCCTCCTTGGCGCACCGTCCTCTCGGGAACGCCTGGAAAAGCAGCCGGGATGTCCACCAAGGGCTTCCATAAGCCACTGCCGCGCCCCGTGGAAAGGGGGGGCGGGGAGGAGAGGGAGTGGTGGGTGGTTGCCCCCCAATGTTCATAATTAGCTCCCTCCGGAAGGCCCCAAACGACGATAAAATTGTTAAGCCCATTGGAGGGAGGGATTGTCCGTCCCCGCGGAAGGAAGCTTCCCCAGGAAATGGTTGTTCTCCTAAGCGCTGGCGGAAAGGAGTGTCCTGAGAGGGGCGCTCTTGGGCCTGAGGCTCGCTCGAAAGCGGGATCGGAGAACTCCCCCCCGCACAACGCCACCGCCCCGGCGGGCAGCGGGGAGGGGCAGGCGGTCGGAGGGCGGGAAGGTAGATCCAGAGCGCTACGCCGCCACGGCCGGACACGGCTCGGAAAACAGCGACGAGGGGCCCAAGGATGGGACCCAGGACCGCCGTGGCGAAGACAGACGAGAAAAGCCCTTGCTGTTTGGGGGCCGTCCCAGTCCTTGGAGAGCACGGGTTAGGTGGTGGGGACCGGGGCCGACCCCCAAAGGCGACGCCGAAGCGGCAAGGGTCGACCCGTCACCCGAATGTGTGGGGTGTGAAAAAGGTTCAGCACCCCTTGGCAGTGGGTGTAAAGGTGGGGGGTGGCCAACATGCCATAATGAACAGGAGAGCGGACGTTGACAGGCGCAATAAGCCGGCAGGGGAATAAATCCCGTTCACGGCCTCAGGGAGGAAAACAGCGGGGGTGGCAGTTGACGCAATGATGGGAAGTTGTAAAGTTGTGGAGGTACAGCGGGCCCTTCTCTAGGGACGTCTTCGTTGGCCGAGGGCCCCTAGAGGAGTCCTCGGCCCCCTCCGGTGGCGATTGACGCCCTCATGTAAATAATGGGAGAAGGGACCCACGCAACCCCTATGATGGAAGTTGCGTGGGATGTGAGGCCTATTGACGATCCTCACTGGCGAGGCCTAAAGACGGTCCTCACCGGGAGGGGGGAAAGGAGGGGAGGAACGATGATGTTCAGGGTGCCGATGCCCTCCGAAAAACACTGAAACCAGGAAGGTAATTATTACTTAACTCCGAAGTTAAGTGATTTTCTAATTTTGTATTGCTACCACCTTCGCGACGACTTACCTCCGCAGTTAAGTCTATGAGTGCTGCTTCCACCTGGCCGCAAAATCACTTAACTCCGGAGTTAATTGATTCCGCGGGCCGCGCCTGCCCTTCATTCGGCCCGGGAAAAAGCGGAAAGGGAGGGTTGCAAAAGGGCAGGACAGGGAAGGAAAAGGGTTGGAAAAAGGCTCAGCATTGCATTGCACCGCATACATTGCATTGCGCCGCATAGATTGCACCTCTGCGATTGCGCCGCGTAGATTGCACCCCAGCGATTACCGCCGAGGGCTTGTCGGGGGCCTCTTGGCGGGCTCTCGGGCGTCTCCAGGGGCAGTCCGTCATCCCTTGGGCCGTCTGGGCGCCGCGGGGCTTCGCCGAGCATCTCGTTTTTTGGGGGTGGGGTGGGGGGGGGTGAGAGCCATGGGGCGGGGGCCAAAGTCCGGCGGGCGCCGCGGGGCGGCCCGGGGTGCTCCGCGCCTTTCGCTGTCCCGGAGTTGACAGTGCAGGCGGTCGGAGTGCCGGGCGACGGGGCGTGTCTCTTCCACGCGTTGATCGCGACACTCGGGAGGGGCGGCGAGGAGGTCGGCCTGACCGCCGAGGGCTTGCGAGCTGAAGGACTGCCTTCCGCTTGGCGGACCCCCCCCCCCCTGCCCCCGCTATCTATCCGCCAGGTGGGCCCGAGCGGCCGGGGTGGGGCCCGCGGGCGGGGTTTGAGTTTCATCGCCCCCGCACGGGCCCCTGCGCCTGTAAAACGTCGCCCCCAGCCACGAACTGGATCGCGAGCCTCCCCGGCACGTTCGGGAACGCGCTCAACAGAGCTCAGTTCCCCAACGTGGACGCGCACGTCGCGCACATGCGGAAGCCCAGTTCCTGGGCGGACCACTTGGTGGCCACTGCGTGCGCCGCGGTCTTGATGAGGCCGATCGTCGCCGTCTTAGCGCTTGCTGGCCGGCGGGCGCCGATCGGCTCGCCACGGGCGGGCGCCGCCGGCAGGGTTCTCGCGGGCTCTGCGATTCGCGCGCGCGCGGCGTCGGGCGCGCCTGGGGGCGGGGGCGTGCGAGACCCCCCCGCCCGCTCCGCTTGCGCCCGAGGTCATTATCTCTGACGTCGAGGGCGACGTGGACGCCTACTGCCGCAACATCGAGCCGCCCACACGCATCGACAGGTCGTTGCGGCTGGCTTAGTTCGCCATGGATTCGCGCGTGCCAAGCGCGTCGCTGCGGCGGCCGCGGGCCCTCGCGCCGCGCGCCGTCCCTCATTGGTCGCCTCGCATACGATGGCCAAATTCAGTCGGGCTTGGCCGACGCACCTGAAGACGTTGGGGCCCTCGGCGATTTCTTTTGGAAGGTTTAGCATGCAGACGAGTTATAGAGCTTCCAGCATATATTGCCGGGGGGGGGGTCGCAGTTGGTCCCGGCCGTCGCCCGCTCCGCGCCCGCTGGTCGCGCCGAGGTGGCGGCCCGCCCTCCGCATTTGCAGCTTCGACCAGCTGCACTTCGACGGCGCGGAGTCGGCGGGCGCCCCCCCGGGCCACGGCGGCGCCGCCCCCCCCGGGAGCCCCCCCCGGGCGACGGCGGCGGCGCCGGCGGGCCCGACGCCAGGCCAGGCGACGAGCCATGCCCGAAGAGGCGCTGGAAACGAGAGCGGATCCAGCGCCCAGGGCCCTTCTACGGCGGGGCAGGGGGAGGCGGAGGTCGGCGAGCATCGAAGCGTGTCAGATTTTGATTATTTCCCAATACTCTTCGCATGCTTCGTCGTTGTTGGTGTACCTCGCTCACTCCGTAGTTTTGCTTTCCGATTGGCGGGGGGCAGCCTGCGCATCGCGCCCGCGTCAAAAAGGGGGGGGGGGGGGGCGGGGGCGAGGTGGGGCTCGGCGGCGACCCGGGCGTGTGGCGGACAGAGGTAGCAGTCGCAGTCGCGCTCCTGCGGCGTTCCCTGATGTTTCCCCTCCTCCTCCTCCTCCTTCTCCTCCTCCTCCTCCTCCTCCTCCTCCTCCTCCTCCTCCACAACTATTCAATATGAATTCTACTCTCCTCCTTCCCCTGATGACGGGTTGGGAGCGTTCGCCCCCCCCCCCCCCCGCGTACTGTTTTTTACAAGCAGGATTTCCCGGAGTTGGGTTTTCGCTTGCATGTGTTTTCAAAGTGCTGCCATCGCTGAGGCGCCGGCCTCATTTTCGGGCCTCGCTCGTTCCGAATCGCGCTCCCGCTGCAGCGTTGGCCTCATTTCCGTGCTTCCGCTCGTTCCGAATCGTGCTCCCGCTGCAGCGCTGGCGTCATTTCCCGTGCCATGCCACGGCATGCAACGCAATGCTAGGTTGCGTTCCGCTGGGCGATGCCATGCCTTCAGCTGAAGTTGTGTTATGCAATGCTTAAGTGCCGCGACGCGTTATGCCATGCTACGCTTAGATCTTCAACGCCACGCTATGCAAGGTTATGTTCGGGGCCGCTGTGCGATGCCATGCTTGGCGTTGCAAAGCCTTGCGATGCAATTCGTCACCGCGCCACGCCACGCCATGCTGTGACATACTACGCTTTGCGGTGCTCTTCTGCGCCATGCCATGCCGTGCTCTTACAATGCATCGCGTACCCTTTCGGGATCATTGCCCTGCTCGACATCCGACTGTGCGAGTAGAGGGGAGATCTACGCCATGGTAAGGGATGGGAGGGAGGGGTAGGATGTCAGACATGACGCGAAGGCACCTAGCTTGTCCTCCTCCTCGTCGTCGTCCTCCTCCTCCTCCTCTTCCTCCTCCTCCTCGTCCTCCTCACTCCTCCTCCTCATATTCCTCGTCGTCGCCCTCCTCCTCCTCCTCTTCCACTTCCTGCCCTCTCAATCGTCGCGGCACCCAACCCAATGCCGCGGCGACTTAACTCCGCAGTTAAGTCTGTGCCGGGCTGGGGCTCGCGGCGTGGGAATCACTTAACCCCGGAGCTAATTCGTGTAATAGCTGGTGCGTCCGCCAGTTTGGCGGCGACTTAACTCCGGAGTTAAGTTTTCCGCGGGGTGGCCTTTACCCCGGAGTCGGGCCGACTTAACTCCGGAATTAAGTCTTGGATAACCTCCCGGTTTCAATCGCTTCCGCACCGTCCTCTCGGGAACGCCTGGAAAAGCAGCCGGGATGTCCACCAAGGGCTTCCATAAGCCACCGCCACGCCCCCTGGAAAGAAAGGGGGGCGGGGAGGAGAGGGAGGGGTGGGTGGTTGCCCCCCATGTTCATAATTAGCTCCCTCAGGAAGGCCCGAAACGGAGTTAAAACTGTTCAGCCCATTGGAGGGAGGGATTGTCCGTCCCCGCGGCAGGAAGCTCCCCCAGGAAATGGTTATTATCCTAAGCACTGGCGGAAAGGAGAGTCCTGAGAGGGGCGCTCTTGGGCCTGAGGCTCGCTCGAAAACGGGATCGGAGAACTCCCCCCCGCACAACGCCACCGCCCCGGCGGGCAGCGGGGAGGGGCAGGCGGTCGGAGGGCGGGAAGGTAGATCCAGAGCGCTACGCCGCCACGGCCGGACACGGCTCGGAAAACAGCGACGAGGGGCCCAAGGATGGGACCCAGGACCGCCGTGGCGAACACAGACGAGAAAAGCCCTTGCTGTTTGGGGGCCGTCCCAGTCCTTGGTGAGGTCGATCGAAGCGACGGGGGCCGACGCATCGACGAGATCGAAGCGCCAGGCGCCCGGGCGCCTGCGTTGCAGCGCCGCTCGGCGCCGCGTGCGTTCCCCATCCGTGCGCCCTGCCTCGGGCTGCGGGTGCACTGCGCTCGCCTGCGGACCTCGCCTGCCCGAGTCGGTTTTAAGCCGCCTGCGCCCCGAGGGCCGGTGGGATTCATTCAAGAGGCTTGCGCCATTGCGCCGAACCCCAGAGGAGGGAAGGAATCCACTGGTGAGGCATTTGGGGGCCTCTTGGGGAAGCCTCTGGGTGCCTCTTTTGGGCTTCTTGGGGCCTCTTCGAGCCTCTTGGGTGTGTTTCTTGGACGTCTACAGGCGGCCTCGGGGGTCCTCTGGGGGCGGATGGCTCGGAATGTCAATTCGAGATACCTCTCTCGGGCCCCTCTTGGGGCCCCGTTGGGGCCATCTTGGACGCTTCTTGGGCCGCCTTGGGACCCCCTTCGGCCGTCTTGGGGCCCTTTGGGGGGCGTCGTGGCCCCCCTTGGAGCGATCTTGGGGGCCTCTTGCGCCGTTTTGGACGCTGTTAAAACGAAAGGCTGCGAATTTGCTGAAAATGCACGCTGCCCCTTAGAATTGGGACGATTTTTGCTTCTTGGGGCCCTCTTGGGGGTCGTCTTGGAGGCCGCGTTGGTCGTCTTGAAGCCATCTTGAACCGTCGTGGAGCTACCCGTGGCCGTTTCGACGCTCTCTTGGACTGTCTTGGCGCTCTGCCTGGGCTCTCTGGGGCCGTCTCGGGGCTTTCGGGAGGCTCCAGAGGCCCGAGGGGCGCGTTGACGAGCTCGTACCTCCCCCCCCCCGACCCCCCCCCCGCTTAAACACGATTTTGGACTGGACCCCAGGGGAGGGGGGAAGAGGGGGGGACAGCCAAATGTCTCACACGCCTTCTCAGCCCTGGCAAGCGGGGGTCGGCAGATTATATTCAGCTGGGCCAGCTGCATGCGGCAAGCCCCAGCCACCGTGCCAGCGCATCACCACAGCAGGAAGGAGGTAGAGTTCAAGGCCAGCTCGTCCTCCAGTGCGGGTACGATTGAACTACCAATTTCTGAAGAAGTTCGGGCAGCTTTCTCGAACCCTGCTAAGCTTTATGGGCCACTGCTCCGAATTCGGCGTGTCAGACAAACGTTTCTGTGATGTCTGGGGACTATACCCAGTCTAGTACCAGAGGCACAGTTGCGTGCGGCTCTCCTTCCGCAGCTAGTCTCACAGTAGCTCGAAGATGCTGTCGCCGACCAGCCCCATGCGAGCTTCCAGAAAGGCAATCCCAGGGAAAACATCATGTTGTGTTCCTTATTCGTCTTCTTCTCGCCTGGCCGCCTCCTTCTCCTCCTCCTCCTCCTCCTCTGCCACCCTGGTGTAAATTCGTTGATCCACATTGGATGCAGGCCCCACTTCAGACACGGTATGGCAGAACCGCCAACGAGTTCGGAGTCATTTGCACTTTAATGTATGTGTGTGTGTGTGTGTTCCAGGCTCGTTTGAAATCTGCCCTGGCCTGTCGCGGTAGCCTTCTGAAACCAGCGCGCCCCGCACAACGTTAATTTTCGACAGATTCAATGTCGTTGGAGTGGTGGCCTTGATCAGCCAGCCCCAGGCTGCGAATAACTCGTTTCAGCGCGTCCTGAAGCACTCTCAGAGAGTTCCAGAGCGCTCTGGCAAGGCCTTGGCGCCCGACATGTAATTCCAGAACCGTCGGCTCCCGGAGATTCCGGACTTTCTTGTACCCGATGACGTCCAAGTCTTGCCGTCGTACGGCACACGGATGGTCGTCGGCGCGTGGCCCTCCAACAGGTGATGCGTGTGGAGCCCTCGGGAGGTTGGATTCAGAACCAGCCCTGGTACATTCTTGGTTCTCACACACAGCGATATTCCACATAAACCAGCTGAATCGTTAGCTTAATCTGGCTAGATCATGTTTAAGTGTTGCTGTGGTTCAGTAGCGCCCAATCGTTCCCACGAGACCTCCTGGAGCGGGTAAGATGCAGGAGGGAAAGGTGCCCTGGTGGAAATGGGTCCTGGATTCAGGAGCTTTTGCCCGGGACCTGGCCCTTCATCTTGCATCGTTGTTTGACGGCCCCAGGGCCCAGGAAGTGCCCCAGGAGCGCGAACACGGCGAGCAATTTCCAGGGCCGTTTCTGTCTTTCGTGGTGATCATTGGCTCACGTGACCTCGCGCTGCGGCCCAGGTGAACTTGGGCCCGTGGCCCTTCTCACCCCTGCCGTTCAAGTGCACCATGCTGGCGGAGGCCGCCGCAGACGATGTGGAAGTCGCGCCCAGCAGTCCCGATCAGGGCGAGAAGGCCGAGGTGGTGATGCCGATAGGCCTCCCCGACACAGGCTTGGGTCCGTCCATTGCCGGGGCCAACCCGCTGGAGAAGTGGGGGGTCGAATGCTGTCGGGACCCCGCTGGCGCGTGGGAGGGATGCGGACACAGGCCAAACTCGGCACAGAGGGTTCGCCCACAGGTTTTGATTTGGAATTGGATCCGAGTGCCACCCATTCGCCCCACACGTCGCCCCTGGGCCCCCGACTCTTCGCGCCCCCCGATGGCCCTGCATTCTTCAGTTGCACCTCCAAGAAGACTAGACTCCACCCCCCTCCCGAGGCCCGTCTTCACGGCCCCCCTGGGTTATGACAATTTCCAGTGTGCATTCTATTTACATTTGTATTACGCACGGTCGTGTATTTCCAGGTAAAGAATACCATCCCAAGGGGGGCAGTACCGACCCCCCCCGTCGCATCCCGCAAATTACGCTACCGAGGAGCCCCACATGTTTATATCATGTCTGGAGTGGTGATAGCTGAAATGGAACATGCGAGAATGATGCTGGTGGCCGTTGCCCCGCCGATACCGTTGGTGACGCCTGTACCCTGAGGGCGTCGAGAAACGCCACCCTGTCACGCTTTCCGAGCCTGGACCGTATGGAGATCTAGCTCGGGGACCGCGTCGAAAAACTGCCACGCCTGCCACACTCCGAGCCTGGAACGTGTAGAGACGACGCTCAGGGACCACCCCCTGCGCACTCCCTCTGGTGTCGAGAAACTGCCACACATGCCACACTTCCCGAGCCTGGAACGTGTAGAGACCGCGCTCAAAGACCACCCCTTGCGCACTCTCTCTGGTGTCAAGAACCTGCCACTCCTGCCACACATTCCGAGCCTGGACCGTATAGAGACCGCGCTCAAAGACCACTCTGGTGTCAAGAAACTGCCACCCCTGCCACACATTCCGAGCCTGGACCGTATAGAGACCGCGCTCAAAGACCACCCCCTGCGCACCCCCTCTGGTGTCAAGAAACTGCCACCCCTGCCACACATTCCGAGCCTGACCGTCTAGAGAGCGCGCTCAGAGACCGCCCCTGCGCCCCCCCCTCTGGTGTCAAGCAATTGTCACCCCTTCCACACATTCCGAGCCTGGACCATATATGAAGACCACGCTCAGAGACCCCCCCCCCGCGCACCCCCTCTGGTGTCGAGAAAGTGCCACGCCTGCCACATTTTCCGAGCCTGGTTCACTCAGGTCCACTTATATACGTACTCGCTCATCTTGAGAATATGCAGACTCAGACTCACTCATTTTCCGACTCCCTCACACTTAGATTCGTATTCGCGGCGATTCGTTTGTATTCATAGCATGCGCGGATCACCGCAATGTAGCATGCACGGCAGTCGAGCCACCGCGGGGGGAGGTCGACCAGAGGTGTTTTGAAACGGGTCCGTTCGCGCCCATCCCAGGCACCCAAATTGCATGATCATTTCACTAATGTCCGAACATTTCACGCTCAAGCCCACTCATACCCTGAGCCGCTTGTATCTAGTGGCCTTAGGCTCACCCTGCCACTGTGCCTAGGTTGTGGCTCAGAGGCCTCTTCGAAGCGTATTCGGGTATGTTGGGATGCCTCTCGGGGAACTCTTGGGTCTCTTGGGGGCTCCTTGGAGGCCACTTAGGGGTCTCTTGGAGGCCTCTTAGGGGTCTTTCGGGGCCTCTTGGAAGCACCTTTGGGTCTCCTGGGGGCTCCTCGGGGGCCTCTGGTGGGATCTTGGTGCCATCTTGAGGTGGAGAGTTCCAATTGCAAGTTCGTGCTCATCCTCTTGGGGGCGTCTTTGGGGGCCTCCTGGAACATCTTGGGGCACTGTTAGGGGCCTCTTGGTCCGTCTTCGAGCGTTGGAAGCCCGAACAGGCAGGAACGCCAAAATTGTTCAAACCAGCGCATCAACATACATTGCGTTTGCCTTTTGGACCCCTTTTGGGGGGTCTCTTGTAGTCTTCTTGGGGCGTCTTTGGGACATCTTGGGCCGCCAGGAGGCCATATTGACGCGGTCGTGGTGGCCGCTTGGGGACCTTTTGGGCCCCCCTGGCCTCGGGAAGAGTCGCGCGAGAAGCCCCGAGAGCCTGCGGCACTCCCCAGAGAATCCGCGCATGTGGTGTCCGGGCCCCATGACAGCTCCTGGGGAGCGAGGACTCAGGGGACCTGAGGACACTCCAACTCGTGCCTCGAGGCAGATGGCGGATGCAGCCACACATATGCTCAGGCTCGCTCACACCTTGACCAGTTCACGTCCAGGCGCTCATGCGCAGACTCGCTCGTTTTCAGCCGCCCGTGCCCCGGTTCGCGCAAGCTCAGACCCACCTGCTTAGGCAATCTGGAAAGAACGCGCTAGAGCTCCGATGCAAGCATGGGAATCGGAGGGGGGAGATGCGAGACCAATACCACCAGGGAGACCACCTCCAGCGAGGAGGTCCACGCTGCCTCCCCGAACTGGAAGCTGGGGATGTCTCGAGCGAGGGGGGGGGGGACCACACTACCAGGGAGACCCCCCTTGCTCCTTGCATCTCCTCGTCCTGGTGGTGTTGGTGTCGCCTTTCCTTGTTCCTATGGGGATCTCAGCGTCGAATGATTTGGAACCCGGGCGCTGCCGTGGTATTTGATATCTCCGCCGCGCCGCCGATCTCTCGAAGGCTCTGCGGAAGCCTTGGCGCAGGCCCAGCGAGGGCTATCCGGGGAGCCATGCGGGCACCTCGAGATCCGTGGGGCGGCGGAGGAAGAGACGGGGGAGAGGCGGAAGGAGAAGACGGGGGAGAGGAGGAAGGAACAGTTGGGGTTGGGAGTGGGGAAGAGGAAGAGGAAGAGGACTCGACCGAGCCCTCGAGAGGGCCAAACACCAACTCGACGCAGCAGGTATACAGCACGAGCTTTTTGGCTACATCGACGACCTCACCATCCTTGCGAAGCCTGAAGACCTGCCCACCATATACGCAGCCTGCACCAACGCACTTTGCCAAGCCGGCCTCCAGACACGCGTCGACAAATGTGAGGTGTGGGCGAGGAATCCTGTCGCGATACCAGCAGGCCTACCCGTGCCGCGAGTAGAGCAGCCCACGATATTACGACAACACGCCGACGACTACTCCGGCCTGTCACCGACGCCTGTAACCGCCGACCAGCACGCTGAGGAGGGCAGCCTGCACTCACCCGCCTCGCCGCGACTACAACACCAACGAACAAAGAAGACGAATGCCATGGCCAGACTCATGGACCTTCACAAAGCCGGCCTAGACGTTCAGACGTCTGTGGTACTACTACGAACACTCACTGCAGGAGACATGACGTTGCACATGCGTACCACTGGGGTTCCCGCCCAAACAGCGACCCAGCTCGACGCCGACCTCCTCAGCACAATGGAGGAGCTAGTACAAACGCACGACCTCACAGCGGAGCAAAAAGAGAAATACTGGCACCCTGTCGCTTTGGGCGGCTTGGGATTCCAGAGTGTGAGCGCAGCGCGGTTGGACGCTCAGGCGGCCTCGTGGGCACTCTGCGAGAAACCAGTTCTCCAACGACTGGGCCTCCGCGACAGAGATGACCTTCTCCACTATTGTTCGGGCTTGAGGCCAGCGCTCCACCACCTCTAGAGCACTGTCAACGCGCTGACGCAAGAAGAGGCAGCGCAGCAGGCGCCCGACACGGAGCCACCCGACACCACCCAACGGCGCTTTACCAGCCACAGGCGGCACCCAGAGTGGACGCAGTGGTTACGACGCACCCAAACGGAACCCCACCAACGGGCCTGGGCTCTTAGCACGACAGGCAAGGGAGCAGGCGCGTGGCTCGGGCCGCCCATACGGCCCGACCACCACCTCGCTGACGCCCATTTCAGGGCGGCCGTGAAACACAGACTCGGAGGTCTTGTACGCGCAGCTGACGGCCCTGCCCCTTCAAAAAGGAGAACGGAACCCACTGCGCCGGCACCGTCGACACTTACGGATGCCACGCGCTCTGCGGCTCCTATGTCGGCTTCACGATTAAGAGGCATAACGACCTGCGCGACACCATCGCGCGAACCCCACGTGAAGCCGGCATTTGCGACATCGCAGTCGAATCTTGGATTCGCCCACCCACCGGGCCGGGCATTCCGGGTCTCCGCGCGGACCTCAGGTGCACCGACAGCGACGGTCAGTGGGCTGATCCTGACCTAGCGATCGTGCATCCCACCTCACAGCAGAGCCGGCAGGCCAGAGGGGCCCACGCCCAAGGCACCGCTGCCAGACTGGCCGAACAGGCCAAGCGCCGCAAATACATTCCAGCCCCTCGGCTTTGCCGTCTTGGGAAGCATGGGCGAGTCCACCCGGAAGTGGCTCGCGCAGCAAGTGCCGGAGGGCCCTGGGCGTCAGGAGACCCTCAGCACTCTCCACCGGTCCATCGCCACCTGCGTGGTGCGGGAGGTGGCGCGCGCGCGCGCTCATCAGCGCTGCCTGAGGTGGTCGCCGGGCCAGCCAGCGCGGTTAACGCAGGGGTCTGGTGGCTCACGCACTTGGGCCTGGAACCGGCGGCCTCTCGACGCCTACTGGCGCTGGCACGACGACAGCACTAGCACGACGACAGCACTGCTGGAAGAGGAGGGGACGGGGCGCCGAGGAGGAGCGCCGAGGCCGAGAGAGGAGCGGCCGCAGGCCAGGCCGAAGGCCAGGGAGCGGCCGAAGGCCAGGGAGGAGCGGCCCGAGGCCGCGGGCGGGCCCGCGGGCGGGCGCGCGGGCGGGCGCGCCTGGGCCCCGCGAGACCCGCTCGCGGACCGCCGCCCTGGGGCCTTCCTCGGACCCGAAGGCCCCGGGGCGCCGGAGGAAGAGGAAGAGGAAGAGGAAGAGGAAGAGGAAGGGGAAGAGGAAGAGGAAGGGACGGACGAGGAGAGGGAGGAGGAGGTGGCGGTGGTGGCGGCCTGGGAATCTAAGCATCGGGAGGCGGAGAAGGAGGAGGAGGAGGAGGAGGAGGAGGAGGAGGAGGAGGAGGAGGAGAAGGAGGAGGAGGAGGAGGAGGAGGAGGAGGAACAGGAGGGGGAGGTGGAAGAGGGGGAGGGCGAGAGGGGAAATGAGGGCGGAATGTAGAAGGGGGGGGTGGAGGAGGAAGAGAAGGCGTCGCCTCTGGCGCCAACGTTGCCGCTGCTACCTGCCTCGTGATCGCGCGCGGGTGCGCGCATCGCCTCGCCTCGAGAGCACGGGGCGCCCGGGCGTCCAGAGTTGAGAGAAGGAAGGACCGCGAGGGCTCCTCTTAGCAGGGGGCAAACTGGGCCTGGAGGCAAGGGGTCCTGGATGTGATGTGCGGAGCGGGGGGGGGGCGCGAGGGCTCCTTTCAGCTGGGGGCAGACGGGGCCCGGCGGCAAGAGGTCCTGGAGCGCGTTCGCCGCTCTCGGGCCCCGCGGGGGCCTCGCACGGATCCCGGGGACCGTCGAGAGCTGCTCGGGGTCCAGGGCCCGTGCCCCTCGGGACGCTTGCTCGTCGTGGCGGTGATCTCTTCGTGTCCCGAGCGAAGCTGGGCCCAGTGACCGAGGCGTTTCCGAAGGATCAGGCCTTGCTCGCGCACGTTGTCCCACCCCGTGTTCCCCAAATCTTTTTGCAGGGTACGGCCGGGGGGATAATCGAGAGGGGGCCCGGGGATCGACGGCAGGAGGCAATTGCAAAGGGAGGCGCGGCAAGCACGTGGAGAGAGGCGTGGCAAGGCTGATGGAACATCTGATTGCTTGCACAGGCTACTTCGATTGGGTGGACCACTTCTTGTCGAAGGGCAAGGAGTACGAGGCACCAGCGGTTCGCTTTCGCGGCATGCAGACCCCACCATGAACAAGGGGGGTACTGCCAGATGTTTCCAGGGAGATCCATGGACTAGAATCTAGGGCATTGGCATTACACCGAACGTACAGGTCACACACTCTAGCTCACAGGCCAAGTCCGGCGCGAAGAACTACAGGCTTCGTAGCCGTTCTTGGGGCCATCCATTATCTCAGTCTGTAGTTATTGAAGCCTTTCCTCGAACCCCGCTCTACCAGGGGAGTTTGAATCGTCACTCGTGATAGCACTCAACTGGACGCCTTTGCGTCGGATTCCCGCTGCGAAGACGCTGGGCAGCCAGCGCAAACGCTGGATCGACGCTGACGCCTGACGACGATACAGTGTTGACCACTTCCCAGCGCAAGGCTTGAAGTACACGGGCACTCCTGATATCTCCATCTATGTGTTCTGTTTCCCCACATGCTAAGTGGAGTTTTTTTTTGCCCACCCGGGTCGCACCCGCGGCTGCTCCTCCTTCTTCTCATCACCTCCTCGCTCTTGTTCTTTCCCACCTGTTAAAGCATGCCACGGGTTGAAAGTTCTCATGTGGTCTAGAGTGGAGTGAGTTCCTGAAGATACCACGTCTACGAAGGTTCCTTGATTGGGGCACGGCTCTTGACTTTGAGTTTGGGGCTGGTGGCGACCAGCCAGCAGATCTCCTGGGTGCCAGGAGGCCACCAGCCTTGCGGGCCTCCGCCAGTCGTGCCATGGACGCTTGTCTTCAAAGCTTCCCGTGGCCATCACAGGGCAAGCATGCCGTAGCCCTCACGGACCCACGCTTGTTCGAAGGAGCGGGAAGGAGAACTTCCCCTCGCCTTGTCCCCGCACCCCCGAACCCCATTCCCTTCCGCTGCCTTCTGCGTAAAGTTTTTGCCGCGAGTACAGAATACGCTCTAGTCTGCTGAGCCCGCACGCCTTCGCAGGAGTTGAGCGACCGCAGGGTCATCGATCTGGCAACGAAAAGCGGATTGTGGAGACCCGGGGCGCCCAACATGGTCCAGGGTTCCAACGACAAGCCGGAGATGAGGTTCAACGTGCCGTCCATCGACGACCACAGCGTTCGCAGGCGCGCTTTCTTGTTGCCCCCCTGTCTTCAGCCGCCGCGCGTTGCTTCCTTGCCTCCTGGGTGGTTTCGGGCTTCTGCCGTATTGTTGAACCTGCGTCTCTGGAAGTTACTCGTGAACGGCCGATGGCAAACCACAACATGCAGGTAGACCCTGGACAGTAAAGTTAGGTCAGAGTGATGGGGCCGAGTGGATCTGAGTGGTGACGCGCCGTTCCTGGCCGTGTACCTACTTGGTGGTGGGGGGAGGGGTGGAGGACAACGTCGCGTGCTCGTTGTCGGTGCCACCGTTGTCGCGTTAGCCGTTAGATGTATGTTGTTGATGATGGTGATGACGACGGTGACGTTGCTCATGAGTCTTATTTGGGCACAAGATGGGAGATTGAAATTGCGCGAAAGAGTGGGGGGAGAAGGTCTTCCTCGTCTTGGCCGCCTCGCTATTCTGATTTGTGATTGTGCAGGTAAGATGATAACATTCAAGAGTTGTGAATGCTCCCCACTTCTGAGGATGTTGTACCACTTGGCGCAGACGTCGAAGCGCTCCTTCATAGTCCCTGAGCTGGCTGGCAACCTGCAGCAGGTGGGAAAGGGGCGGCACTTAGGGGTGGCAGCTGGACGGAGGGGAGGAAAGGAAAGAGGGAGTGGATGGAACGGGCATGCATAACAGAACGATGAGCCAGGACGGGAGCGGGGACAGCGATGTCTTCTGTTCATAAATCCCCGTCCAGCTTCAACACCGGAACTCCCACAGACGCAGATAAGAGCGAGAGGGTGCGCTAAATTCGAAAGCTTACGGGAGAGGTTCGCGGGCGCCGGGTTTAACTCGCAATTCGTTTTCTATGCACCCCCCGGCCTGGCGCCGTTGTTGGATCGCGGGTGGGCTCCGGCAGGGCAGCCAGCGCCAGGCCCCACCGAACCTCCGCAGAGAAAAGGATGAGACACAGGCAACAGCGAGCGCGCGTCTCGAGTCAGCCAACACGTGTCTGACATGCATGCCGTAGACTCGCGTAGGCGGGGAATTTTCCCCCGACAGCCTGTCCATGCCAAACCACTTACGAATGGAAGGACGCCTACGTTCGTGGGGCGTGTCAACGAGCGTGATTTGACTGCCAGGACGGATTGAATTGATTAGGGTCTAAGGAAATATTGGGTGGCCCCCCTTGGCTCCTCGATGCACGCCCCAACACACTGTATACACACGTGGTGCGCAGAGCTGGTCAAGCAAATATCGGCCAGGCCGAAGGATGACAACACCATCGAAGTCCTCGTATTGATTGTGTGGTGGTTTGGTCAGAGTGTCCTTGATAGTTCTGGGCCCCCAAGCCAAATATGAAGTCCGCGTGGTAAATGCATGGAGCAAACCGGGGGCTTCTGCAGTTCATGCGCAGGTGCGCATTTCAGACACATTCAGATCCTCGTTCCGCGATGGTGGCACATCGTTCAGTGCACTCGCGATCAGTCCCCGCCCTTTGCAGTTCTCGCCGGAGGGACCCCAGGCGTCCAACTGATGGGAGCCATATGAGCTGGGAAGAGCCAAGGACGACCCCAGTGGAGGCCGCGAGTTGCCTAGGACGACCCAAGAAGCGTCAAGGCGCCGTCCCGTTTTCGAAGTATTCGATGACGCATCAATAGTTCTTGGTCCCCGGGCTACGGGTACCCCCCAGACTACGGGTACCCCCTTCCCGGACTACAGGTACCCCTCCCCCAGACTGCAGGTACCCCTCCGGACTACAGGCACCCACCCACCCCGCGACAGGCACCCCTCCGAAGCTACTGGTGCCCCCCCGAGGCTACAGGAACTCCCGAGTTCGCTATCCCCTCCGAGCCGGAGCGGTCCGCCTGGCATGTCTCTGCCCACTGCCACCCATGCATTATGCATGTGTGCGTGTGCAGCGATGCGCTTGCAGTCCCGCACGCGTTGACATCCACGCGTGCGTTGACGCGTGAACACGCGCCCCCCCCCCGACTACAGGTCCCTCGCCCCAGGCCCCAGACTACGGGTACCCCTCCCCCGGACCGCATGTACCCCACCCCCGACCACAGGTACCCCCCCCCGGATTACAGGTACCCATCCCGCGGACTACAGGTACCCTCCCCTGTCTACAGGTACCCCCAGGACTATTGAGGGACACGGGGTAATGATCCGCACCCGAAATCATTGAGGAGTTCGAACCGTGTTGGCCATCTCGGGAGGACTGTGCGCGGATGCGTTGCAATAACCGAAAAGGGGGGGGACACATGGAACAACTTTACTCTTGGCACATGGTTCCGTTTTGACAAAATCGTGGCCGAGACAAATTTATTTCAAGTGACACGTTGCGTCAGAGACCCTAAGCCCTAAGCAGCAACGCTGCATGGGAGGGGCTCGTGTATATACATATATGGGAGATCCCGGGCCCCGGGCCCCGGGCCGGAACCTCCCTTGTATATATAGGGTGCGGCCCTCTCCCGGGGCGCCCTTCCGGCGGCCCCCGCGCGTTCCAGCCCGCCCAAGAGGGCTCCAGGAGCGCCGAGAGAACCCCAGGATCGCTTCAAGACCGCCACAGATCGCTTCCAGAAGGGTCAAGACGCGCTCAAACCGCCCCAAGAGGCCTTCAAGAGGCCCCCCACGAGCGCCCCGGGAGACCAAAATAGCCCCATTCCCCTCGTAAAACGTACATTTTTACGATATCAGCTCCCTTAGCTGTCGGAGCGGCCCGAAAGCCCCACGAGGCGCCCAAGGACGCTCCAGGACGACTGAGGACAGCCCCAAGACGGCCCAGGAGGGCCTCCCGGGACGCTCCTCCGGCGGCCCCCGGGCTGCCCAGTCCGCCCAAGAAGGCTCCAAGAGCGCCGAGAGAACCCCAGGATCGCTTCAAGACCGCAAAAGATCGCTTCCAGAAGGGCCAAGAGGCCATCAAACCGCCCCAAGAGGCCTCCAAGAGGCCCCCCAAGAGCGCCCCGGGAGACCAAAATGGCCCCATTCCCTTCGTAAAACGTACATTTTTAGGATATCAGCTCCCTTGGCTGTCGGAGCGGTCCGAAAGCCCCACGAGGCCCAGGAAGGCCTCCCGGGACGCTCCTCGGGCGGCCCCCGGGCCTCCCAGTCCGCCAAAGAAGGCTCCAAGAGCGCCGAGAGAAGCCCAGGATCGCTGCAAGACCGCCAAAGATCGCTTCCAGAAGGGACAAGAGGCCATCAAACCGCCCCAAGAGGCCTCCAAGAGACCCCCCAAGAGCGCCCCGGAAACCAAAATGGCCCCATTCCCTCCGTAAAACGTACATTCTTAGGATATCTCATCCCTTGGCTGTCCGAGTTGTCAGACAGCCCCAGGAGGCGCCCAAGGACGCCCCAGGACGCCTGAGGACAGCGCTAAGAGGGCCTAGGAGGGCTTCCTGGGACGCTCCTCGGGCGGCCCCCGGGCCTCCCAGTCCGCCCAAGATGGCCCAAGAGACTTCCCGGTCGCCCCGAGAGGGCCCCCGGAGCGCTCCGATACGGCCCAACATGGTCTCCAGAAGGGCCACGAGGCCGTCAAGACGCCCCAAGAAGGCTCCAAGAGGCCTTCCAAAAGGGCCCCGGGAGCCAAAACTTACTCCATTCCTTTCGTACCACGTATCCAACTTATTCCAAAAGCCCCAAGAGGCGCCCAAGGGCGCCCCAAGACAAGCTTGGGAATGAGGCCTCGCACGAACGTCAATGCATGGAGTCTGCTGGGACGGTGGGAGGAGGAGGGAGGAGGAGCAGGAGGGAGGGGGAGGACGGGGAGAGAGGAGGAGGAAGAGGAGGAGGAGGGAGGAGGAAGAGGAGGAGGAGGAGGAGGAGGAGGCGGAGGAGGAGGAGGAAGGGAGGAGGGAGGAGGAGGAAGGAGGAGGAGGCGGAGAAGGAGGAGGAGGAGGAGGAGGATGGGAGGAGGAGGAAGAAGAGGAGAAAAAGAGGAGGAGGAGGAGGAGGAGGAGGAGTTCCACGCGGGAGCTCCGCTGAGCACTGGCGGGCGCCGCATGTCCGCCGAGCCGCGCGGCGCGGCGGCCCCACTGCGTCCCCCGAAGGCCTTTGAAGGCCTCCGTGGCCCTCCGAGGGGTTCCGAGGGCGAAGACCTCGAGAACCCTCGGATGAAAATATTCGTCTCCGCTCCGCCGCTTCCTCCTTCCTTCTGCATCCTGCCTTCTCCCGCCTCATCTTCCTCCTCCTCCTCCTCCTCCTATTCCTCCTCTTGCCTCCTCGTCTCTCGTTCTCCCTCGTCCTCACTCCTCCCTCTCTCCTGCTCCCTCGTTCTCCACCGCCCTCCTTCCCAAGACGCTCCAAGACGGCTCCAGAGGCTTCCAAGAGGCGCCCCAAGAGGCCTCGAGGAGGCGCCCCAAGAGGGCTCCAAGAGGCAAACATCATTGATTTGCAATATGAAAGTGTATATTTTTAGCAGATGTATGTTTTCGGCCTTCAAGGCGTTGAAGACGGTCGAAAAGACCCCCACGACCGCCCCAAGACGGCCCAAGAGGTTCCTAAGAGGCGCCCAAGACGGCCCGAGAGGGCGCCAAGACGGCCAAAGAGGCCCCCAAAACGGCCCGAGAGGGCCCCAAGACAACCCCAAGAAGGCCCCAGGATGCCCCAAGAGGCCCCCAAGAGGCCCCCAAGAGGCTTCCAAGAGGTGCCTAAGAGGCCCCAAAGAGGCCCCAAGAGGCAAGGCGGCAGAGAGTCGGCGAAGGCAGTTTCCATACCATGCCCGGCCCGGCGCATTGGAGGGGGATGGGGAGGACGAGGAGGGGGAGGGGGGGGACGGGGATGAGGAGGAGAAGGAGGAGAAGGAGGAGGAGGAGGAGGGGGAGGAGGAGGAGGAGGAGGGGGAGAAGGAGGAGAAGGAGGAGGAGAGGAGGAGGAGGAGGAGGAGGAGGAGGAGGAGGAGGAGTGGGAGGAGGAGGGCGATGAGGAGGAGGAGGAGGAGGAGGAGGAGGAGGAGGAGGAGTTTGAGCAAGTGGAAGAAGGAAGGATTCAGAAGGAAGGAGGAAACGGTGGAGCGGGGATGAGCCTCTTCATTTGAGATGTTGAGGCGTTCGGGTTCGATTTCTGGGCTCGGGTCTTCGGTCTCAAGGTTCGGGTCTAAGGGTGAGGGTGTCATGGAAAGATTGTTCGGGTTTGAGTGCTCTCGTGGATCTTCTTGGGAGCCTCATGGGCCCTCTTGGGGCCATTTTGGGCCGTCTTGAGGCCGTCTTGGGCTGTCTTGGGGCCATCGTCGGCCATCTTGAGGCCCTCTTGGAGTCCCAAGAGGCCCAAGAGGCCGAAATTGTTGATTTTCCATAGGTCTTTCTATGTTTTGAGGCCCAGAATGAGGCCCTCCAGATTTGGTCCGACGATGTGGCGCGGCTCCAAGGGGGGGGGGGCCTAATATTGCAGAACAATACAATATGTAGCATATGTAACAAGTATGCAATCGTTGGATACACTGGACACGTTGCATTAAAGCATCCGCGGACCTGCCTCTGGCAACACGTCATTTTCGAACGTAGATTTCCCGCGAATCGCCACGGAATCGGACCCGTGCTTGCGAACACCGTTTTCGGAGCAAACTAGAACCTAAGCGCGCGCGAAGCGCGCGCGTGGTTCTAGTATAT